AGGATCGCTTTATTCGTTTTATCACTCAAACAGTCGAGCGCTGCGAAGTCAATTTTCGTTTGTTCTTAATTTTTTCCTATGCTCGTTGTACACATCAACTTTGTCAAGAGAAAATGAAATGAAGTGAAAAGAGGGATACACAGGCTTGTTGCAATTTGTGATCCACAAATGAGCAGACACGCAAAAGCATGGAATCAAAGTATTTGTACACTAGCGTTTTGTAGCATATCAGTCCTTTCTGTAATTCTTGCGATCAAGGAACATCTAGGTCCAGTATGTGTGGTGTCCATCGCCGGGCCATACAGGAAACCTTTTCCTGTAATGTCAGGGAGACGGCTCTCCTCTGTAAAACATGGCCCGTTTTTCGTCGCAATGTTTTATCGGCTTCAATTGTGTTACAGTAAAACTTAAATGACACATTTTGCAATCGTGGAAAACTTCGCAGTAGCAACTAAACTTGAGTCAGTAAAATCACAATAAGGATTACATTTTGATTTATTTTTCATTGGCTAACTCCTATTTCTAGCACTTTATCATTCCCAAAATGTTTGAGACAACAAGGAAAGGATTTACGCTGTGTCTTGTTGTCATACTCTGTTGTATCTTGAGACTAAGCTAAAGCCGTATCCTGTAAAAATGAAGAAAACAATTATTCCGTAAGATTATAAAGCCCCTTCTAATGTAAGATTCATGTAAGTCGCACACCCTTCATTGGCCCATGTTCATGAGAATATATCGAGGACCGACCAAAATAGCCCGCTTTACCTTTAGTGTAAGTTATCAGCGGAATATTATTTTAGAAGAAGCAAACGCTGAGCTTTGTACGAGCAAATTTATTTTTCGCCTTAGGTGACCGAAATGAGTCATGCTAAGGTTAGGAAAAGCCATTAATATAGGAAATTTTGGGGTTTGACGATAATTTGACCTGACAGTCGACATTAAGTCAGTGTCAAACTCAAATCTTCTATGTTTCCGCGGTAAAATTGTTACTCGCCTAAATTTATGTCCGGTACCAGTACGTCTTGATTACTCAGGAGCACATAGCCTCGCAAGCTTCTTTAGTCATGAAGTTGTTTTCATTTCCTTGGCACCCTCCATAAATGAACTCTTTGCACTCCCCAACCGCCGGGTCAAAATAGTAGCGGGACATATATGCCTTGCATGGACCATTTTCTGGTGGCAGATGACAGATGTCCGCGGCTTGCACTGAGACTGAAGAAAATATTAAAAAATATATTTACTTTCTGTAAACAATCTAATAGCCATGTCTAGGGATTTAGGCTGCTAATGGACGCTTTCTTTTATAAATTCCTCTTTCCCTCCTAACATCAACATAATTCTTCATTTAGGACATAGAATTGTCCATGTTGTTCTTCCATACATTGTGAAAGCGGATTCACCACGGTACTGATATCTATTAGAGCTTGGTAGTGATGTGATGACGGTAGTAATTCATAACAAATCATGCCTCTATTCAAAGGGCATCTATTAATTTCTTTTTTTATCAAAACTATAACAAAATTCTCGAACGCGATTGGTTAACACAAGCCCGATTTGAGCACTAATAGGACAGTGTCATTCTATGTAAGTGGACAGACACGTTACTTGCGCGCTGCTGTCTCACATTTTGCCGAGCTAACACACAATAACAGATTTTGTTAGTTACTCGTATGATTACAGACAGAATTGGACTCCACTTAGTCCTGTTACCATTGCGAGTATTATAGGTCGACCAACCATATGCATTAGCTATCTTTATCTATTTCTTGACTACAACGATTTTTGGCTCTTAGAGAGGTTAAAATTGGCTCCACTCTTCCCTTTTCAAAAGGCCCAAAGAATCATCAAGCTAGGGAATTTTTGAGCATTCGTTGATGTGCAAAAAATTTAACGGTGGTGTCAAAATATAAATTCATCTAATGGTTTTCTCGACTTATTTTTCAAAAATGGAACTGATATTCTTACAGAGACAATGTGACGAAATCATCCCAATCGTCCTGGCATCTCTATTAAAAGCTGAATAAATTCAACTAAATTTTTAGTTCTTTTAGAGATGTAAGTTTACTTACCAGAGTTGATGAGAATGACGATGAGCAAAATTTTCTTGTCCATTATGTAATGTTTATCAGGCAAAATCTTTGAAGAAAGCACAAAACAGGAAAGTTATCAATTAATATACGCGTTCTGATCGGTTCATCACGTACCTACCCATTTGCTGGGGGACGCACGGCGCCGTTACCAGAAACCAAAATCAAAATGAGGAAAAAGCTCACAAGAGTGCTTTTTTACAATCCGTTCTAAGTTCATATACTTAACGCAGTGCTTAAAGCTGCGAACGTTTTCAATATCATTCCTTTGATTTCATGACCTATATGAGATAACCAAATGTAAAGAAGTCATGAGGCAAAGTTAACCACATCCTTAACAGGTCTTAACAAGAAGTGGAATTCAAGTTTGAAAATTGGAACAAACGAATTTCTTAAATTGCCTTAGAATCTTGTGCTGCACCCGTCTCTTGCGATTGTAAAAGACAAAAGCTAAAATGTCTCTAGAAAGGTAGTTGTGCCATTTACTAAAATTCTAGATGTAAAAACGAAAAACAGTACGACTTACTGTTCTTGAAAGAACTCTCGTCCTTCTGTACCCCGACTTGAAGTAATAAATGAACGTGAACGTACAGCTGTGGCTCTCTGTTGAGAAATAAACTCGATGGGTGGCATCATCTCCTTATGGCTCATTTCACTCCTAAGATCTAGTAGGTTATTCTCCTTTCTGTCAGGCACACATTTCATTCAAGAAAAGTTGAAAGAATTTGGGGTTACATCGAGATGAAACCTTCCAGCTGAGAAAGTGTTTCTTTATTCTCATCTTGTGTTACTGTATAATGTATTTGAGTTGCAAGGAGAATTTGCATGTTCATCGCTGCAGAGCATAGAAATAACTTTGATTAAGGAGGCCTTGTTATCAGATGCGACTTTGGAAATGACATCTTGATATCAAAAAGAATTACAATATTTGCAAAGGAATTTTCTAACGAATAACTGTTTCATGGAACGTAAACTCTCACGGTAGAAATTGTTGAATTGTTCCCTGTAGATTCTTTTATGGAGCCTGACAAGATAATGCTAAAATTCAAACATAGCAAAATTGAATCAAATTGAACCAGTTCTGCAATATTTTTCGTACACCTAGAAACTCCAGGACTTTTTCTCCTTTACAATGAACATCCGTCACTTTCCTTTTTTCTTTTCTAATGTATGTTTTTTTCCTTTTATGTCATATTTCTTCATTTCCGATTTATTTCCAGTGTAACTAAATTAAGCAAGTAAAGAAAAAAAAATCGACCCGTCTCTATTTGCACTTGCCATGGGCGGGTCAAAGGAATATCTTGTAAATATGTAAGAAGAAAAAATAAAAGAAAAGTGTGAAGTGCGTGATGGTTCTAAGGTTAGTTATTTGTGCGCTATTACAATCTACATATCACTGACAAAGGATTCAAACTCTCCTTACATGTCTTGGATAAAAGGTACTCACTTTGCTAAGTACTGATTGATTTGATATTGAACAATTTTAAAAAAAAATAATTATTTTTTAAATTACTTTTTTTAAAAATTGATTTTTAAAAACAACTTTTTTAAACAATTTCTTTTATAATTTTTAAAAAAATTTTGATATCTTGATATTATGAAGAAATTACAATATTTGCAACGGGATTGTCTAGCAAATAAACAAATCTGAAATTAAAAAAAAATGTTTCATGGAACGTAACTTCTCATGGAGAAATCGTTGAATTGTACCCTGATGGTTCAAAGGTTAGTTACTTGTGCGCCAGAACAATCTACATATCATTGACAAAGGTTAACACTTTTCTTATTTGTCTTGTATAAAAGATATTCACTTTGCTAAGTACTGATTAACTTGATATTGAACGATTAGTAAGAGAAAATTTTAATTTTTTTATTTTAATTATTTTTTTAAATTATTTTTTAAAAATCATTTTTTAAATTTTTTAAAATAATTTTTTAAACAATTTTGTGAACATTTCCTTTTATAATTTTTGGAATTTTTTTAATTACTTTTTTCATTTTTTAAAACAATTTTTAATTACTCCAATTTTTTTAAAATAATTTTTTAAATAAAACAAATTTTTTAAATATAAAATGGCAGCAGAGATGGCAGCAGATGGTGGACGAGGAAGCAAGTTTGCAAGTTGCCCGTAAACAGCCTAAAAACAGCAAGTAAAAGGGATAAGAATAGAGCACAGTTTGGGGAACAGTAGTAACAGGAGCAAGCGACGAAGCCAAAACCTACAAAACCTTTTTTAAAAGAGAATGGTTGCAATCCGTGAAAATAATGACGGCATGACGGATCGATGGCAATCAAAACCCAGACGGAAATGGACAGTCCAAATGAACGCCGACTTATTGTGATGCAAACGAGAAGCAGCGGCCATGACATAGATGAACCAGCCTCCACTTGATAGCAACGGTAGAAAAAAAGGCTTTATTACATTTAGGATGGCGTTATGGGACGCGAGAAGCTACGATGGCTTTGGATTCTCAATTCAGAACTTAAAAGAAAAATCGGCGATCTCTTCAAACAAATTTATATGACGGAAGATAGTTTTCTAAAAGCATACCTTCGAGGATGTTTCACTGACATTATGCTGCCTTATCTTCGTGGAAACTTTGCTTCGTGACCTCGATGCTGTTAAAAAAGTTCTCGAGTCGTCACGACAAATTGTTACCATATATACAGATCCGGGTTGTTCGGATGCAAGTTATTAAAAATGGTTTTTAAAATTTCTTTGTTTTCAGTAGGCCTCTTACAAATGATCTGTTTGTTTATTCATTTCATTTTTTCTCAGTGGGGGTTCGGTCAAAACGGGAAACAAAAATGTTTAGAGAGGAGAAAGAGTTCATTCGTTGCTTCGTTCTTTCCTTTAACTTTTTAGTCAGTCAGCTAACCGTTAAAATATTTACTTTATATCCTAATTATAGTCTTGGAGACAACAATATCAGTTCGAAAATGAGGACGAGGCGTTAGTCAAGGCACTTGAGCTTTCCCGTCTGGAGCAACAGGGCAGCCAAAGAGTACAGACACAACCAACAGTTGAGCCGCGTCAGACTGAATTTCAACGAACCACTCAAGCTTTGGGTCCAGATTTAAAGAGTACGTTGACGTCGGTTTTTATGCTTTCTATGAACCTCCGCACTGTTTATTTCCGAATTGTAACCTTAAATGCCTTATACTTCATTTTCCATTGATTGAACCAAATAAGTAAATTTTAATCTTCTAATTTTGACAACCTACATTTGATAGAGAAGGGAATTTGTTTTTATAAGTGTGGCAGAGTTTCTTATCAAATATGTTCGGCTTTAAAGGGAAAACAGGTCGCAAGTCGCAAGCTGAAACCAAAAGGGCAACTCCACTTTGCCTGCCAAACAACTGTAAATGGGATTCGAGCTCAGGCCAGTACATCAAAACAGGAGAAATGCGAACCTCACTGTATGTGGTAGATGAAGCACTTGAAAACCTCCGGAGGATTAAAGGTAAACTGTAAACTTACTAATCAAACTTACAACATATTTGCATGCTAATCCCGTTATGGCTGATGGTCGGCGTGACTAACGTCGTTAAAAATTGTTTTCTTTATTATGTCCAAAATGGTGCAACTTTTTAACTTTCTCGCTTGAATTTTACACGAACAATTCACCAAAGATGGATAAGTCACAATATGAAACGGAATATCTGGAGATTTCATAATTCCTGAGGAGGAAGAATTAAATAGATATAGCTCAAACAATCGAACGTTGCGAGGTCAATTTTCATTTTTGAGTTTTTTTCCGATGCTCATAGTACACACCAACTATGAAAAGAGAAGAGAAAATGAAATGAAAAGAAGGATGCACTCACCTGTTGGAATCTGTGATCTACAAATGAGTAAACACATAAAATTATGGAATCGAAGTATTTGAACCCTAGCTTTTTGTAGCAGACGAGTCCTTTGTGTAATTCTTGCAATCAACGATCATCTAGGTCCAGTACGTGTGGTGTCTATCGCCGGGCCATACAGAAAAGGAAAGTCCTTTGTACTCAGCGAAGCCTTCAATCAACCACAAGTTTTCCCTCTTGGACATCACATGGAACCGGAAACCATGGGAATCTGGTTATGGATAGTGCCGGACAAGTTCAGGGTTTGCCGGATCATTATTTTGATTTTCTTTTGTTATTTATAATAATTTGGCAAGGTATGAAGATGTAATCGACATATTTCTCATTAAGGATGCTAAAGGCCAGGAAATCACAATAGTGCTGCTGTACTCTGAGGGAATTGACGCAGTAACTGGAGAAGGACTTGATGATAACCAGATCTTCACTTTAACAGTTTTGTTAGCCTCAGTTTTGATCTACAATTCACAAAGCGTTCCAACTAGGCGTGATCTTGAGGGACTGGAGTATCCTTTCAAATGCAGTAACAACAACGAGATGTTTATTTTAACCATGAAAGTTTTTTTTAAACTGCAATCTAAGATTACAAGTCAGTCAACTATTTGTGAAGAAGAGAGCCGCTTGAATAAAGACAACTTGGTGAATTTTTAAGGCGGGAATCCAAAATGGTCATTGGCTACTCGAACTCAAGACTACCAGAACTGTACATATAAGAATCTGTTACAATAAAATAAATAATTTTATAACAAAATAGACAGCTGTCGGTTTTCCCTCAAAGTGAAAAATAGTTTTTCCGATAATAGCAATGTTGAGTTCATTAGAAATTGAAAAGTGTAAAGCTTGTCTGGAAACAAATGGGAATAACCCGTTTTGGCTTAGGGCAACGATAAATACTGATTAACTCGAAGATCAGGATCCTGAAGTCAGGCAAAACTCAGTGCAAACACTGAAATTGGTCCATTAATATTTTTTGTACAATCTGGACAATTTTCTTTAATAAATATAGTTTCATTGTGAAACTAACTAATCGTATTGAGGTGCGATCAACAACAAAGCATGAGACCGAGAGAAGCCATCGGGACTAAGAGTATTTCCATAAGACCTTTCCTTTCTTCATATGGCTACTTAGGGACGTAACACAAGCAATTCCAGAAGACTGTAGCAATGTTAAGGACTACTTCTTGAAAAAGGTGAGTTTGGGCATAACTCCTGAACGAAATATTGAATATAGTCTGCAGTTCGGAGAGCTATTAATTGATGAGTGAAAGCACAACTTCCACAACTGTCAAAATATTGCCTCCTTAGATTACCTTATCTATTGTTATTTTATCAAATAAAACTGTATATTTTGTTTTGGAAGGTATTTAAGGTCCAGGATTCATCAGCTGTTGGCCAAGAAAGTCAGAAAGTAGCCGAAAGCATCTTAAGCTTCTTTCCCGGTTTCGAAGCATTCACTTTACCTTCTCCCACCGTCGACCCCGAGGCGTTAAAAAGTATCACTGAAAACAAAAGTCTCATTAATCCTTTGTTCATCAGTGGGTTGGAAGATTTCAGAAGTTTGGTGAGGCGAATTCTGCTCCCCAAAAACAGCATTAACGATGGAGAACTTGTCACCGGAGAAGGTAATGGAAGGTTTTGTGCAACCTTTGTTACACTTTACAGTTCCACTCAGACCGTGACTTCGTGCTGAAACAGCCCAGCTCTAACAATGACGATGGCATATTCTCACCCTGGACTGAAAATAAGCTTGAATGGTCCATGGCTTTGAAACACATTCAATTAATAGTGCACCATGGCTTTACTCTTTACTCACAAAGCATGACGCAGATTATTGTTAGTGTTATATCAGCGCAAGTACAAATTTATAGTTCTTATTTCATCAGGCCTTGCAGTACTGGTACAGCTCTACGTCCAAGCCATCAACACGCCTGGTATGGTCCCGAATGTTCAGAACGCCTGGGATCAGTTTGTGGAGGTGAAATGTTCTGACGCAATGAAAGATGCACTTAATGCTTATGACACCACCATGTCATTACAACTGAAGGATAAGTTACCGTGTGATAATGATCGACTGCGAAATGGTCATGGAATGGCACTGGAGGACAGTGAAGCCCATTTCATGGCGGACACGGCAGGAATATCTACAAACACGATCGAGACGTTTCTGAAAAATTTGAAGATTAGGCCTTTATTCGGGTTGCACGATCCTTGATGGAGATACGTCTGAGAGTATTTCTTAATTATTGCTTGTGCAATTTATAACCCAGACTGACATCTTGTAAAATCAACTTGCGAAAAAAAAGATGAAAAAGAAACTTTTTGCTATTAACGTTTAGAGTCCATCTAACTCGTATCCACACTGCAGATATGGCTCACGGTACCAAGAAGTGGAGATTAATTCACTCAAAGTTTAGGAAAAGTTATGTCTCAAAAAGATAAAGAAAATAGTAAAGCAAGCAATGCATTAAGCTTATTCTTAAACAGGAAACGGTTTTTTTATGAAGGAGAGAAGTGCTAGCATTCTTGCCAACTCATGTTTGCGTTACTTTAAGCTTTTTCCTAGTAAAACAGGTCGAAGAAGCTCAAGGAGGCGTCAAACGAAATCCTCTCACTTCCCAGTTTAATATCCTGTTCTACTGTATCGTTATTCTCGATTTAGGAATCGTTGAGTGAAAGGTTTCACTTATGGCAAGAGAAGAATGCAAAAATGACCAGAGAATTCTGCAACAACCTGCTCGCAATGCTCAAAAAGCAGCATCTGGACCCAGTAATACAGCAACTACAGAGAAAAGAGGGAGCCAAGCTTTCCTTTCATGAGATTATTGGAAAATACAATCTGATTAAAGATGACTACCACAAGTCTGCAATCGGCGCAAAAGATGAAATTGAGGCGGTGTTTTTTGAGTTTCACCCAGTAAGTAAATTCAGGGCTTAAGTTCTCCTATATTCAGTGATGTTAGTCTCTTCACTCAGTCTTATCTACAGATGCATTCATCCTTATGGATCGTTTGTTCTTTAAAGTCACACACGTAGGTTCTTGGTAGCCTGGCTATAGAGCACAGAGTTTGGTTCCTGGCTCTCATTGGTTAGTTTAAAGCCCCGTGCTCGCTTCCTGGTTCTCATTAGTTAGTTTAAAAGTACATTGTTCGCTTCTTAGTTCTCATTGTTAGTTTAAAAGCACAGTTCGCGGATCGTTCCCGTGTGATTGCTTAGTAGGCGTCAATTTCACAGGCTTTTCCATGGAGTTTTGAGTTTGTTCATACTCCTAGAAAAATGCTACTAATACATGCAGTATTGGTCAGTATTCATCTATATGTTAACGGTTAACAAGCTGGTGAAGAAAAAAAATCGACGTGGGTTGCACTTGATTTTGACTTACTGTATCCAAAGAGAGGAATCCTACTTTTGAAGTTAAGATTCTTTGATTTCTTTTTTTACCGTTTTTTTCTTAAATGTGTGCTTATTTGTTGTCTTTCTTGAGGCATTGATGAAAGAGCAAGAGCAATACATGAGCCTCTTACAACAGCTGAAAGACTACGATGAAAGACTGACCGAAGAATTGGCTGCCAAAGCCTTTCAAGAGCAGGAAAAACAAAAGCTTGAGGTAATGCCCTTATCATGCTTTGAAATTTTCAGATTTCCACATTGCTTGACTAATTATGAAATGCTTATTCGAGATAACTCTAGAGGAGGAAGTCTATCAGTAACAGAGTAACTGCAACTTCTTTCCTTCCCTTGTGCTCAGAGTAATAACTGACGGATCAAGAAGCCAGAATTTTAAAATTATTTGACCAACCAGGGCACGCCTATTTCGATTAAACGCATGATCTGACGCAATCATTTACCATTTATACAGAACAAATTCGCATGATTATTTGAAAACATGGAATATCAAACTGATTTCATTTTTTTTCACCACTTTCGAATATCGAAGGAACAGCAACAGCGTTTGCTGCAAGAGAATCGTCAAGTTAAGAGAGAGGTAAGAAAGACTTCTGTTCAAAACATAGATATTAATTGAAGTAACATTTCTTTTTGTTGACGTAGTCGCGTCAAAAGCAAGATACACAATGTACGATAATCAATTTTCTCTCTGGTTCATCACATGAATCAACACTTTGTTGCTTAATCCTTTGGATTATTTCTGAGTGTATTCTCCCTATTTTCTTGTGGAAGGAAGTGGGAGAGTTTGGCGTAAGAAAACTAACTCGTAACCTTTCGCAAAAAAACTTTGACACTCCAATAATGTTGCCATGTTTAACTTGTTTCAGTATAGTTGCTCCAGTGATCATAGATATGCGCGTGTGCTGATTGTTCGAGGATTGCGTCATATCTCCCAATAATCACCTTGCGCGCAAGGGTGCTAAATTTCAAATGGCTTGCCCGTGTTTTGTCAACTTTACCCAGGAAGTGATAAGTGCAATCGAAAAAATTCAATCATGATCATGAAAAGCACAAAAATGCGGCTGAGTTTGGAGTAACCCTTTCCAAAAGAAAGATATGAAGTGTTGCTGATTGAATGAGATATATATCAGTTGAATTCTAGTGGAAACTGGCTGCGTCTCAGAGGTTTTTCAACAAAATTCACTTTGCCTTCGACGAATAATTATTAAATGTTAACCATTTCGTTTTGGTACACTGTTGTTGAAATTATCGTGCATTTTATACAGATGGAAATGTTAAGCGAAAGGCAAAACGAGGAGAGAAAGAAATTCCGGGAGCAAATGGATAATGATCTTCGAGTCCAGAGAGATCAGATGAAAAACATGATGGACGCAAATATGCAACAAGCACAGAGGGAAAGAGAGCAGTTTTTGCAAGAAAATCAGCAACTCCGAAACCAGTTCCTTGACATGCAGAAAATGAACGAGGAAAACATCAAGATGATGAAAAAGCTGTCTAAGTTGGTTGAAAGGCAAGAGGAAGAGAAGAGAAGAGAGGAAGAGAGGATGGAAAGAACTAAAGCTGCCATGGAAAAAAAGGAGAAGTTTGAACAGATGGAAGCAAGGCACAGAGAAGAAAAGGAAAATCTACGTCGCGAGATGGAGGAAAAGCTTGAGCAACAACGCCAAGCTTTGACAGAAGAGTACCGAAAGGCTGCTCAGTCTCGAATGCAAAGGGTGGACGAAATAGGAAAAAAGTTGGAAGACGTTGAAGAGGAGCTAAAGGAAGTCAAGAAACCAGGCTTTATTAAACGAGCTGCCGTAAAAGTGAAAGATGCGATAGCTACTGGAGCTCGAAAAGTAGTAGAGAATTGCGTAATAATGTAAGAAATCATAACACGACCCGCAAAAATTGAAAGAAAATACTTATTAAAGTGATTGGAAAGAAGATTCTTATGGTATATTCGATTCATTGTAACTGACGTCTTTTAAGATATTTCACCTTGACGAATAAGTCGCAGATTGTCCATGTCTTTCGTTTTTGCAGCTGTTTTTAAAATAATTCGTCAAGACAAAAAATGACAAAAAAAAAACCTAAGCTAGACTCGGAAATATGATGATTAGAGCTATATACGACTTCACGTGGTAGGAAATTAATGTAGAAGTTTATGCTGAACAGAATATATCACCTTAAGTTACCGCTGATACCTGGATTGCCTTTGCAGTTTGGATTTACTGATTTTCCTCTTCCGCTCGACCACGGTGTGGAGTTACTTCGTCCACACCCCATATTTCAAAGAAATTGATACCAAAGCAAAGGGTCTGATGTGGAAACTATATCTTAATAAAGCTAAGATGACTGAAAATGCCAGCACGAAGTTATCACTCTTGAAGTACTGATGTCATCGACAATTTGCCCTAGCTTTCCCAGAAATGTGCCAATGTTATAAAATCAACCAAAATTCTACTCTAGTGGTTACATGCACCAGATATTTTTTTTTTGTTTTAGAACGAAATACTTCTCACCTGGTCTTCTCGGAAAACGCAACGTAATATGATGGGATTGGAACGCAAATCCGTTGGTGCAGTAATAACTGGTAGTCTGTAATAAACCTTTATTAACAGCTTGCCGACTGCGAACAACATCAAGTTGATCCGAGCTCGACTGATTAAATCATGCGTAACTGTCTAAAACTAAATTATTACATCATATCCTATTTATCAATCAGTTTACATGAGTAACCGCACGATGTAAGCATAACAACATAAACAATGCATCGTTGGATCCGTAGTTATAACTTTAGTTTCCGTAATTACAACTTTTTCACCAATAGTCTCATTTTCTTTTCGTTTAGAACGGTACTAACACTTACTTTATAGTGGGAAACAATCCTAAGGCGTGTAAAGAATGACTTATTTAAACTTTCATTTCCGGGAAATTAGGTCAAAAGTTTGTTTTCTCGACGTCTGCATCGCCGTCTTTATTACAACAACGTAACGTTACAACGTAACTCAAGCGTAAATGTAAATTCCCGGATTGTAAAACTGTCGATCAATTTACCGACGGTCTTTCGGATAAACTGGCCATTAATCTTCTGGCAACAAGTTACTTAACACTACGGACATTACGATGACTTTGGGAATGCCATAGTCTTTAACTTCACGCAAACAAAAGTAACGCCAACGTCTTGAAAGAGTTCTCATTTGTGCAGCTGAATGAGGGTAAATATATTCAAACTTTAATCGCGGTATGATGCGTAGGTATATTTGATCATTGGTCTTCATTAACGTTAACTGTTTTTACTTCTGGCCTATTTATGGTAGATTCGGTAAAACTGCATCATCCTATTAAACATATTTACTCTTACACTGGACGAACTCTGCTTAGTCCAGAAACAAAACTTCTTGCGAAGAAAGCGAATCGACACCGCGCGATTCTTCGATCATTCGCATAAGTAAACATTGAGAAATACAAAGTTTCTTTTCCTACTTTATCAAAACTCACGTTCTTTTAGATTCTTGTTTAATCACGATCCTGGCTTTCAGAGAAGTAATGAAGTATTGGTGACAAATCTGAATGATGAAATTCGATTTTAGGCTCAAATACGTCGTTGTTTCCTCTTCCGGTTTAATTCCGCGAAACTGAGACAGACATGATCAAAGCCGCGTAGACTTAGTGATTAAACAAACTGCTGTCACGCTATACTCTGTTTATTACTGGGCCATTCTCTGTAAATTTGACTTGTTGAAAGTTATAGAGAAAGTCCCATTTTATATTTGGAGATGCTACTTTTCCTCCTAACACGGCATGAGTGTTGGATCAGTGAAGAGTTTATTTGCCAGCGTATATAAACAAATATACGAAACGATTGTGGTTTGATCTGATTATTTTACCCCATCTCTAAATTTAAACACGGTCTCATGTGATATAAAGAATAATTAACCAAGGACAAATTCTCAAGACCGGTGTATATGTGATTGCATTTTTAAGCCCCCGTCCGATTATTTATATGCTTGGTCCAACAAGAAGCAGAAGAGAGCTAAAAGCGTTTGTAGTCATACAAAAAGGGAACGAATGTCAAAATCCACATTAACCCTTCCACTCCCCAAGATCCCACTAGTAATTCTCCTTACTGACTGCCATACAATTCTTATGATAGTATTTCGGAGAATTTGTTATTAGATCAACTGATAATTCTCCAATTGATGTTTTTCTTTATTCTCATCACTTGTCTGCTTGATGTTGTTTCGAAATTGTAAGGAGAAATTCAGTCTTGGTCACTCATGGGAGTTAGAAGGTTGAGGGAATATATTTAGGTTAGGCGGTATAAGAAACGAAGGCATGTCCACGTATTTTCCTTCACTATTGCTGATGTTACAGAAAATAAATAACATACTACTGCAAATTGATGGTAACAAATAATACTTTAAGAAAATCATATATATTTTATATAGTTTATAAGCAGAATTAAAACTATAGAATTAAACTAGGAGAGGAATCACCCTTTAACTTGTTTCCTTTATTTTTTATCTTTAGTCTTCGATCAGAAGATAAAGACCAAGTATCACAAGCATCAATACAGTGTTTGCATACTGAAATTTTGAGGGTGACTCACCGAACATTAACCGAAGGCATCTACCATGGCTGTAAGTTTATTTTCTTTTATCTCTGGTAGCTTTGCCTCATATTGCTTTGTATATAAGCTTTTATTTTGTATTTGTTATTTCCGTCGTTGCCGCTTGGTTTCTTTTCAACATGCAACGTGAAGGGCCAATTAAGTCTGATATCGATGTAGCTGATACTTCACTTGCAGCCAGTTGTGGATAACTTTACACATGCTTTTTTTGACTGCCTGCAAGATGTTTCAGTCCTTATACAATAATCTGGGGAATTTTGTACAAAACATGTATCAGTTCAAAACTTACAATTTCTTATAACTTGTTTGCTCTCCAATGCGCCGATGTTGCCAGGAGAATTGATATCTTGATGACCCATGGGTTCAGTAAATGATTCTTTAAGAAATCTTGGCAGATTTCCCTTAGTACGCTTCTCATCTGTTTGCCACAAAATGGAAAGTTGCACCCTTGTAGTGTTGACTCGTTGTAACACCAAGAGTCCAGAAAACGTTATTAGATTAAAATCAAGAGAAAGTAACGAGGAGAGAGGGAAAATCAAGGCGTTGGCCAGGATATGTAGATTTCACTTAAGTTATCTCTAGCTTGGACTTGGAAGCATCGAGTTTCTCGAATAAATGTAGTTTCTTATTGCCGGAGTCCGTTTGATGTTTAAAGAACCAATCTCTTCGCTGTTCGTAATGCTTGGTTAGCTTGTAAAATTTATTATCCTGTGATGTAACCGTCATCGTTTTCTGATCTTAATTTTTAAGAGTTTGTCTAATATGTTAACACACGCTCAGAGCGTTCCGGCTACGGCTATCTTTAAATAACATGAGATTGACATATCCTAAGGCCTGGAGCAGAAGGCGTCCTTCTCTGTCCCATTATTTTATCCCGATCAGTGACAAATTGTATCGCCTACATCTTGATGGATACATAAGCATAACTTCGAATTTTAAGGATATAAGTGACCTTTTTTGTTGCAAATGCAAATCTGTAAATCACTAATCAGCAAGGTGTCATATCTTGTTTGGAAATATTATTTTACATCAGGGATTTGAAGATTTGAGGCGTTTCCAGTTGGAAAATGAAGACGAAGCCCTGGCCAAAGTACTAAAAATGTTCAAACCAGAAGACTCTCCAACTCCCTCATCTTTGGTGCAGGTATCTTTTGAATATCCAGAGTTACCAACTTTCAGCATACATTCAAGATTCTATAAGTTCTGGTCTTAACATGGTAGTGTTATGAACTACTAAAATTAGAGGTGTTTGGGAACTAATAAAGTTAAAATTGTTCTGGCTAAATTTTTGGGAACTTTTTAGGCCTGTTAGATTATCTTGGAATACTTATGCGACTCTTGTAAGCCTTGGTTAGTTATGTGCTGCAAGACCATACATTTATCTTTACCCTTTGAGTGATATGTCCTTGAACGTTGTAGTAAGGCTTAATTCTCATACGATGATCGTCATTGCCACTATTTTTTTTCCCATCTGACAGGATTTTCAAACACAAGATGATGATGAAGATCAAATATTAGCTAGAGCTGTGGCTCTTTCTTTAGAAACACCAGGTTTGTAATTTAATGTAACCGGTGGGTCAAATGCATAAGCCTTTGACCACGGATCAATTCGTCCTTTTCCAAACCCCGGTAGCGTCTTTGTATTTATTATTGCAACAAAAATGTATACTCATAAAAGTAACCTTTACACATGGGTGCCATAAAGAGCAACCTAAAGACGCATTTCATATTCTTGTTCAGAAGTGATCAACAGGGTAATTTAATATTATCAACTGAGTTAATAACGTAAATTGGCCATCGTAAATAGTTGCAACGCTGATGTTTCGAGCGTTGGCTCTTTGTCAAAGCAGATGGACAAAGGGCTAACACTCGAAACGTCAGTTTTTTAACTCTTAACGGTGGCCAATTTACGTTATCAGCTTAGCTGATAACACTAAATTACCCTGTTATACTCTCCAACCAACGCAGCACCACAGTTTCTTTAGAAACTTCCCTCCTTTATTCAGATGTGATTAGTCATGTTCATCTTAATGCTCAAGTAATTTCTCAAATGGAAAAAAAGAAATGACAGTCCTTCTTTTTAGACCAGTCATTTACTCACTAAGTCAATTTTAAACTTTAAAAAAACCAAATCCTTTTTTTCCTTTACATTCGTTTAAGGCCCTTCACCTAGATATTTTTACAATGACAAGAATGAATAAACGTCAACCAGGAAACCACTTAAATGCCTCCTTCGTCATTTTTAGCTGTCATAACATTTCAAAAGTTTTTTGTTGATTTTTCTTGATGATTGCTGATTCGTTTCCTTGGGTTTGTTGTCTTTCTGTCTTCTTACGTATGTCGAGTGCATGTCTCGCCCCAATTGAATATTCAGGAAATTAGGGGGAAATGCTAGAAATATTTCATACTTCGTTTTTATTACTATTTCACACTCGGTTTGGATCCGTTCAATCCGATGGCTCTAACGCTTCATCCGCTGAACTTCTACTTGCTGACGTCAATTGGTTCGATCCTTCGGTACGCACCATAGAGAACACACAATCTGCTTCTCCCCTTTGTTTGCCAAACAACTACCACTGGAATGCGCTTGCGGGAAGGACGACAAAGACAGACGATCAGAGGAGTTCTCTAAGAGTGGTCGAGGAAGGACTTGAACAACTCAGGAGAGTTAAAGGCAAGCTATGGTCGGCTACAATATTGATATTGAGGATGTTATCTAATTCTCAAATTTCGCTGACCAAAATGTAGTTCATACAAAGAAGTTGCTAACTCAAAATGGCAACATTTTTCATTTCGTGACCTAAAATGAAAACGATGCGCAATTTAAGCTCATGTCTGATTTGAATTAAATTAGAATTGCTTCAATTAATTAGGCCAAACAATAAAGAAAACCTACAAGTGATTATAGCAAAATGTATTCTTCATTTAAATCAGTCATTATGTGAAATGCGAATTTCTTTGTATCATTCTTCAACAGGCCCAGTGTGCGTAGTATCCATCGCTGGTCCTTACAGAAAGGGGAAGTCCTATATATTAAGCCAAGCTTTTGACCAACCAAATGTTTTTCCTCTTGGACATAAAATGGAGGCTGAGACTATGGGAATCTGGATATGGATTGTTCCAGAAAAATTCAAGGTTTGTTTATTCATTGAGTTTGGCAGCATCTTATAAGATAAAAGTAACCTTGCACTAACCGCTTTTAATTAATGATGTCTATTTTCAAAATGTTGGGGTAGACACGGTAGGAATCCGGTCGGAAGGTACGGATCGAGACCTGGCTGGGTCGTTTTGCCGTTTTCTGAGGCAAGAAACTTTAGTCTCACAGCGCCTCCCTCCATTCAGAAGTTTAAATGGCCCGGTACCGGCGAACTGCCGGGAAGCCTGACGAAATGCGAAAGGGCTATCACTGTTATGCATGTATTAGGTAACCCGTATTGGGTGAGTGGCAAATAAACCCGGTCGGGTCGTGCTGCAGAAACCGCGGGATAAACTCCAACTGAACGGGCCACTAACCTCAAGTCCAGAGTTTACCTATTAACTTTATAAAATTTGTTCAATCGATATTGCATTTAGAATTCCAATGGACAAGAATTCACAGTGGTGTTACTGGACTCTGAAGGGATTGACGCCACAAATAGTGAAAACACTAATGACCATCAGATCTTCACTCTAACAGTCTTGTTAGCGTCCGTGTTGATATACAATTCGCAAGGTGTTCCGACACGAAGTGATGTAGAGAAACTGGAATATCCTTGACAACTCTCCAGTAGAACAGATATCAGAACTACAGTTAATAGGATTGTCTGCATAAAAAAAGCGGGCAAAATTCCAGTTGTTGTTGAAGGCTCTGTAACAAGACAAAATCGTTTGCTCTGTGTTCAAACAAAAGATAGAAAAACGGTTGTGCACAATCTCTTTTTGTTTTTTGTTTTTTTTTTAGTTTTAACACTGGATTCTGATAAATAAACAGGGAGCTTTTATAGGTCATTGAGCTCAAAATAATGTGGGTATCAGTTTTGGTTGACATATATACCATAGAGATGCTCTTATATTCCTTGACGGTTTGCAGCTACATAGTAAAACTTTCCGAAAGAATTCAGACGCGATCCACCGTCTCTGGTGCGTATAGTCCCTCGCAAAACAGCGAGTTTTTCCATAAAACATTTCCCTATTTCATCTGGCTGCTTAGAGATGTAACACAGTCTATACCAGATGACTGCAAGAACATCAAAGAATATTTCTTAAAAAAGGTAATCCTTGTCGTTCTCCTAGTTTTGGGAGGCATACGACTGTTGATGACACGTTTTTGACGGTGTAAGAAGTAGCTTAATCCATCCTCAATCACCGGCCATTAGGGAAGGAGGCTCTTTTCATTAATTTGTATCGGAAAAGTCGAAACCATCCAGAGGGATGGCATAGTATCTGCTTGTAAGATGTGTTTGATGACGCCTATCGTTGTTAAAAGAACATAGTTATCCGCAGAGGGTAATCTCATTAAATACGATAGATCTCTACTCTCCTTTAGAGAACAATATCTTGCTTAAAGTAGATCTTCAAAATTCAAATCATATGAAGTTCACAATCTATGTTCAAGGGTACCTGCCATCTCGGTATTTCATTAGGATAATTCGGTTATATAGAACTTAAGGATCATGGGCTTCTCATGCTTAACGTCAGGTTTTTAAAGGACAAGTTTCATCAGATGCGGATAATAAAACCGACGAAGGAGTAGCTGGGAGCATCTTGCGTTTCTTTCCTGGCTTCGATGCCTTTATGTTGCCACCTCCAACAGTTGATCCTGAGACAATGAAAAGCTTAAACAAGACAAAAAGCAAAGTGAATCAGTGGTTCTGGCGTGGCTTGGAGAGGTTTAAAAGCTTACTGAGGGACACTTTATCCCCTAAACGCAGCTTCAATGATGGAGAGTTTGTCACAGGAGAAGGTAGACTTGCTTTTTTTTTTAACTGTCGCTTTAGATATCTACCATGAATGAGATTATTTTAAATGCAATAGCGACTTCTAACTGTGCACACGCACGATCAGCGATTCTTGCCTTCCTGGTATGAACACCTGAGAAAGAAAAATTTGGGATACACGAAGGAATATTCAAACTATCTACCTTTTTCAAAACTGACTTGATCCGGTTCCTTTGAAGCAAATGCAAGAAATGTAGCCTGGAAAGGAATCGTTCATCTGAACAATGCTGCATTCGAATCAGAGTGATCAACGCCCAGAGAAAAAATTGATAGCAATAATTATGATGTTGACAATGATGAAATAATAATAATAATAATAATAATAATAATTATGATATTAATAATAGTCATCATAATAGTTATAATAATTGGGATGTGGCAATTTGGTTATACAAAATGGAATACTTCAATAAAATTTCATTTTAGGTCTCGCAGCTATGGTTCAGCTCTACGTCGACGCAATAAATGCTCCTGATGCTATTCCGAATGTTCAAAGCGCATGGGAGACGTTTGTCGAAGGCAAATGCGCTGAAGCAAAACAGTCTACTCTGCAAATGTATGATGCACTTATGACGGCCCGATTATCGGATGCGTTACCTCGCAGAAATAATGATATTCGTATGTGCCATAACGATGCTCTTGAGCAATGCGAGGATCAGTTGATGATGGAACTTGCTGGAATTTCTACAAATTCAGTTGAAATGACAACTAGAGAGTTTCAGGCGAGTCGCAAAAAGTGTTTGTTTTAGAGTTTTTTCACTATCCTGATTTCTTCTTGGTTCATTGTGTCTTTTGAAAAAAGTGAATTCCGCTGACCATTGTGTAAGCCAAATTTTCAATCATGGTTCATACATAGAAGAAAGTTTGTGTAACATTTCTGCCATATCACAGAGTTCATACAGTTGGATTGCGGACAGTAACATCTCAGTCAGTCGAGCCTGAGAATAGATGATAAGTAGTTCTGTATTTAGTAGAATTACACCTCAGTGTCCGCCTACTACTTAAAATTATTCTCAAAGACAGCCCGGAGACCGTGGATTGAAGTGATTATTTTTTCTCCTAAGAACCTCTACTTTTACCTTTAATTTCAAACTTTATTATAACTACCGAGTGAATTTGCGGGAATTTTCAAACCAAGCTAGCGTTTTTAACGCTGTGTAATAGACTGATATGAGGTCCGCTTCTATCCGGACCGGGCCCAAGGGAATTTTATGTCTTGCAAAAGAGCCTGAAAAGTACCCTTAAAATACCTTCATTATGAATTATTTCGTTTAAACAACGTTTTTTATTTCCACAAACAGTTATCAGTGGAAGCAAAACTGCTCTCTTGGCTGACTAAAAACGAAGAGCTCACGAGAAAATCCTGCGAAATTCTCTTACGAGACCTAAAAAAGAATCATTTGGACCCTGTATTTGAGAAACTTTTGGGTGAGGAACGAGACAAAATATCATTTGAAGACATAATTGGTGGATATCAGAGAGTTAAGGACGATTTCCATCAGTATGCAGAGGGAGCTGAAGACGTTATCGCCGCTGTATTTTTGGAGCTTCATAAAGTAAGGAACACTAAAGTTGTGATTCATTTAACTTTCAATGTCATTATCAAAGAAGTAACCGAGGCTTATAAGAACTGTGAAGTATTGTGACAGTTTACATGAATTGTTACTCGCTCGTATTTACCAGGATATGACAACATGTTCATTCTTTGAAATGATTCGTAAGCATTTCATTAAACCAACGACGTCATAACGTAACAAAGCAAAGCAGAGCTCTTATCTAGGTACGTAGAGATCCAATTGGGAACACCATAATTATGAACAATGTCACAATACGCCAGTTTTAAGACAACTGGTTCATGCTTAGCGTGCGTATATCTAGTTCTGGATGCACGTGGGAAGTTTGGATAGCACTAGAGAAGCGAGAGTTTTTCAAGGGGAAGCCGAAAGCAACCCGAGCTGTTGAGTAAATAAAAGTAAATACTCAAGCGCGGGAAAAAACGGGAATGATCAACAAACGTATTCGAGATAAACGATCACCCTCTCTAGAGACTTCAACTTCCGTGGAATAACGCTCTGCCTTATGGGTGTTATTTTATAATTCAATGCTTAAAAATGCCAAGAAATGCTGATATGCTTTCTAAAGGAAAATAGGGAACTCCCACTATTGAAGATCGACGATCAGCCTCTAGAGCTTGCCATCTCTCATAAAGGGATAGGTTTCTAACGAAACTGTGGTACTGCGTCGGCGGGAAATTATAGCAGTGTAATTTGGTATTATCAATTGAGTTGATAACGGAAATTGGCCACCGTAAAGATTTAAAAGCTGACGTTTCGAGCGTTTGCCCTTCGTCAGAGGGAATGGCGAAGGGCTAGCCCGCTTAACGTCAGCTTTTTAAGTCTTTACGGTGGCAAATTTACGTTATCAACTCAATTGCTCGTAAAGTACTTCGACTAGAGATTCAGAATAACTTAAAGTGGAACAACCGTGTTGATGCTACAGTTAACATAGCTACTAAACGTTTCCAAATACTCCTTGTATTGAGTGCATTGGGCGTCGAGGGTAAAACTTAGTCACAATTTACTTATCCTTGATACGATCTGCACTTAAATAGGTACCACGCCCTTCCCTCTTGCTTCTCTGTAGAACGTAAACAGAAACGCACCTTCAAGGTCATTGTACCTGCACTTTCACACAGAGAAGCTCTCCAATATCTAAAACTACCTAGATCAGATAGAAGACGAAGTGAACTTTGTTTGATTACACTCCCAAAGTTACAAAGATGGGGCCCATTCTTCAAACATCCCCCTAAAGTGAGGGCGTCTGCGCCGTTAACCAAACAAGAAACGTAAAAGAACTTTACAATATCAAAGCATAGAGAAAGATTACGTCGTAATTTCTTTCCCAGTGCAATTTTATCGTTTAATAATCAATAGTATACTAAATAAATTGATTATAATAACATGCTATAAATTTTATTTTTAAAATTACTTCCAGTTTTAAAACTCAATGTTGACGAAAACACTATTATTATTGCTATTATTATTATTATTATTATTATTATTATCTAAGCTTAGTTCTGCTTGCAGTTTGAATCATCAATAATTGGAAAATATCAGTGGTTGAGGACAGTATAAAATATTAAGCTTAACTTTACTTTAAAACGCTTGCAATGCTTTGCACATATCTGAAATCATTCGGATAAAGATGCGGGTTTGGTCACTTAAAAAGTGAAAATATATTCATGTGAATTAGAGAAATAGTCCAGGAAATAAACATTGCTTAATCTCGTCTCAGGATCTGCTGAAGGAAAAGGAGAAATATCTGGGGATATTGGCACAACTGAAAGACTTTGACGAGGAGCGGAGCCGAGAATTGGCTGCCAGGGCATATCAAGAACGTGAGAGAAAAAGGCTAGAGGTAGGAATGAAGCCAGAAATGCTTGTACAAGTCAATGCGTCCATCATCTACAAGCCCTAGCTTCCAGGACATAAGTCCAAAATTTTTCCCTTTGTGATTAGGAGATCTTTGATCCACCTGATTGTCAAAGCAGAGTATGCTTCAGTAAACGGTTCAGAAAAGTTTTATTCCTAGAAAGAGTTATTTTTCTCTCCACAGGAACAGCAGGCACGTCTTCAACAAGAAAATCTTGAACAGAAGAAACAGGTAAAAATAATAGGTATCTTTTTTTTTTAAGATGTTAAAAAAAAAAGGGTTTCAATAGCTGAAAACTTTCGCGAAGTTTTTGTAGAATGTATTGCTGGAAACCCTCCATTAACGTGTATCTCTCCCATTAACATGTTCCGTGTGATTTATTTGTCGGTAACTATTGAATTGTCAATCGTTATACACAAAATTGTTTGTGACTAAGTTTTATTGCTTAGTTGGTCAAAGGATCGAACTGAGACCCGGACGTTTGAGTTCGAATTTCAATGAAGTTACAAACATTTTTAATGGTCATGTGCCCCCAAAAACACAGAGAACCCTTTCCTTTCAAATCGATTGCATGTAAAAAACGAGCGTAGTGAATGCTGTTTGAATATTTTGATAGCTCATACGTGTAGGATTAAGCGGGTCAGGAAAGCTTCTTTTTCCCAAGAACAAGAAAACCGATAAAAGAGCATAGTATTAAAGATCATTTCTGGTTAATTACAAAACTACTTTATGTTCTAGGAAACATAAATTTAATGATAAGACAAAAATTTAGGAGAGATAAAAAAGGAACATCAGAGGAGAGAAAGATTCCGGATAGAATTTTAACACATCATTGTAAACACCGTCACCTGTTGTTGAGGAGAGTTTTTCCGATCTTATTTTTTTTTAACGCTTGTTTTGTGATCAGATGGAAATGTTGATTAGGAATCTTGATGAAGAAAAGAGACGCTTTGCTGACCAAATGAAAGGCGAACGCCAGGCGCATCAAGATCAACTCCAAAATATGATGGAAGCATGTATGAGACAAGCCCAAGGGAAACGCCAGGTATTCATGAGGGAAAACGAAGCTTTACAAGAACGATTCCTGGCATTCCAAGAACGCAACGAAGAAAACATGAAAATGGTTCAAAACCTGTCTGACCGAGCCGCCCAGCAACAGAAAGAAAGAGAAGCTCTTCGTCAACAGATGAAGGATCAAGCCGATCAAGACAAGGAAGATTTAATTAAAGCGTTGAATGAAAAACACGATGAAGAAATGAAGGCTCTACGGGATGAGTTGAACGCAAAGTCAAATGAGATGCCTGAGCAAGTTCCACAGGATAAAATGAAGAGTAGTGAAACGGCTGAATTGATTGATAGACGAACCAGAGAAGCAGAAGAGCGGCAAAGAAACATAGCAGAGACTCGAGAGAGACAACAAGAAGTAGAAAAACCAGGATTTTGGAAGAAAGCGCTTAAAGTTGTAGGGAAAATTGCGCCTTTGGTTGGTCCAGTTTTTTCTGCGTTTGTACCGAGTATAGCACCGATTGCTGTACCAGTAGCTGCCTTGGCTGGTGCTACGTGTGATATTGTTTCTGACAACGTTTGCAGTATAATGTAATCAGTTGGTATGTAGCTTGCCTTCATAGAAAAAAATTCAAGGTTATTTTAATTCTATGAACGCAATTTCACTATGGACCTCCGAGGTACTGATTTGTTATGATTTATAGTATTTCTATCTGCTGAATGAAACCAAAACGTCAATGTAGATAACAAGAGAGGTTTCTGATTGAAACCAGCGTGTAAAATTCGTTTGCGCATTTTGCGTGTTTTTTTTTTCCATTATCGCTGATATTTTATGTCTTAAGTTTTTATCTCGTTAGTGAAATAGAGATATGTGTTTCGCTTTGTCACGTAAGTGGGACAAAGGAACAGTTCTGCGTCCCCATTAGGAATCAAACCTCAGACCTTCACTTCCAAGCTCCGATGCTCTACAACTGAGCTAATTAGACCACGATGAGAAAGGCCATTGCTAGGCCTTTTTAGGCTCATATGAGATATGCCTCCTCCATACTGCAAGGATAAGCAATGACGGAAGCGTAATGCGAGGGTTATTATAAAAGAATAAGAGAGATGGAAAGAATTTAGAATTTTTTCCTTTGAAGCACGCTCGTGACAAGGCGACACATCCCTCTCGTTCATTTCTTGTTTCATCACAGCATTACAGTAATTATATATATTTTTCCTCCAATGGCTTACTCGTGCTTCGGATTTTGGTTGGTTTTTAAATTTTCTACTCAACTCAGATTGCTCTTTAGTGGTAATTTTTAGGCGACATCTAAATGCCTTCGATATATAGTTGCAGTATAAGATGCAATTTCCACTGCTAGCACACAGTGCGGACCTAGGACCACTGTCTCGTGTGTCCATTATAGCAAGAGAACAATAGGGTATGGTGCATTAATCGTTCAGCACTCTTCATGTGACATTTAGAGATCGCAATGACAGAAATTTAACACAACTCGTAGTTATATTAAAACGAAGTCGTTACTAAAGGTACATTAAAGGAACTCCTAGAACTGAAAAATACTATCTGTACTAATATTCAATTTACTTTCTAGCTCCAGTGTCATATTCACCTGTCCTTTTCATACACCAGCGATCAAAAAAATCTGAGCACATTGTGAGTTCATGTGTCCGTCTCTTCCCTCTAGAGAGTGAGGAGCGCCGAGTTATGGTGGTTTTTGGAATATCCCTGGACATGCATTCTGAATTTTGCGTTTCCGATGGGTTCAGCTGAAAATGCAATCTCTCCTTTTTATTACGTATCAGCCGCCCCCACGAGAAATAATTAACTCATCTCTAAAATGGCCCGGCGTTCGAAAATCAAAATCGCTATATTATAAACCCACAGCGGAATTATAACCAGCCCCCTATTAATCCTACAAAAATTCATGCAATCACATTTCATTAAAGCCCAGTAAACTTAATTGCAGACATTGGCATCGTTGGGTATTCATTTCAAACCCCAGTTATATCGAATTAGTAAAAGAGAAATGGATCATATCAGGAGATTGTCTTCCTCCAAACAGTGAACTGTATGATGGAAAGTGAATTTGGTATTTTTATCTTGTTTGTTTTCTCCATTTTGTGAAAACACACCTCGTCTTGTGAGTCTCTTTATTTGTTTATGTCGAATTTTGACGTCATCTATCAACTGTAATTCAACAGACTTATGACAAAATGGATCAATTTGTTAAATATGATGCTTTTTCAATATTATTCGCCCCTTTGGAAAAGATCTACTCGATACTTTCAAAGTTTAATCATCACTGATTATTTTAGGCTTTTATCATGGTGACTCTACATCGATCTATACCAGGGGAAAAGTAAGGACTGCATACAACATGTTTTCGCTCTAATGTCCTGAGTGTATTGCGGATAGTAAAGAAGCAAGTTCTACAAAAAGACTATTTGAGGTTTTTGTCGTAAAATAAAAATAAAATGAGAGAAAAATGATTTTGAAATGGGAAATGGCGAGTTGTATAATATTTCTTTGAAACACTCGTGTCAAACGAAAGCGAGTCTTAGATCAAACTAATATATTCAAGATTAGAAAAAATAGTCATATTTTTTTGTGAAATTAGATCTGAAGTATTTAATGAAAGCAAAGAAGTACACGTATAGTCAACGGTGATTTATCAGTCTATTCATTACTTTCTGGTAAATTTTATGTTTAATATTTTGAGATTTTTTTTTCATTGTTTGCCTTTTAAATTTTTTCCCGAAAAAGTTCATATCTGCCACAATTTGCCACAAACCAGTCGCTCTCGAGGTAGTAACAGACCGTTGCGTGACACCTTTAAGAGGCCGTGACTGTAAATATCGAGAATCGTTGGCCAGGCTAAAAAAATCGAAAATTCTGATAATTTGCCTGGAAAACCCTTTTAGAGAGATACATTCAAAAAAAATTATTTTAAAGTTTAAAAAATCAAATATGTCCGAGGAAATGGGGAAAAACGAAAATTCGGGTTTTTACCTTATTAATTATGCAAAAAATACAGTAAAATTAACCAACTTTAGTGTGCGAGCACTGAAGGAGGATGTTTGGTAAGAAATCGGGGGTATTTTTACTTCAAAGTATAATTCATTTGATTTTTATTTGTGGCATTTTAAGGAGCTTTGGTTTAATTTTAAAACTCACATGATTTTTTAACAAAGTGCTGTCAAACGCTTGTTGCAAAAAGCGAAAAATCGAGCAACTTCAAGCCTTCAAAACGCGTCTTGGTATGTGTGACATCATGTCAAACTACATGCTGGCACAAAGTTTGGTCCTTATACTAACACAATATGAAATAAAAAATCTGGGTAATTCAGAAACGTGCCGGCAAAACATAAAGGTTTGCAACGCACTGTGGCCAGAGGTCACGAGTTTGCATGATGCAAATCAGTTGTAGAAATCGTACCGCCTAACGGTTCTGGTGTAGGAAAGGCTCTTTTGACGGCTACAACATGAAATTTACAAGAATAATGACCAGTATTTAATAGCGTTTAATTCGTTTTTAAGCCAATGAATTTTTTGTTTCATTTCTCGTAACTGTCTTGACGAAAAGCAAAATGTTTCAATTGCGTGACAATTTTCACGTTGGATCAAAGGTTAAGTTGCCGAGTAAAGCGGACACAATCCTTTTTTAATCAAAACTCCATTCTAAAGCATCCAGTCCTATATATCTCGTTTTATATTACTGGTATAATTTCTTTTATGAGTCTATATCGAACAACATCCAGCCGGCCTGATCCTGTCTGACTGCCAAGTGCGGTTCCAAGGAGACTTTTTCATTTCCGGTTTGCGCCTGTAATACGGGGACCGCGGAGCTATGGGGTTGAGTGGGCTGTAGCCCCACCAATAACAATTTGTTATCATTATAATTTATTTAATCTTTGAATTAAAAATTTGACAAATTTTCCTTTGGATTGAAACGCGTTTCCGGTGATTTCAGAAGCTCTAGATTTCAAAATTTGCCGGGGGAGCATACCCCAGGATACCCTGTTAGCAGTCTTTCTGTACTAAGAAAGGCGTACTAAGAAACAGACAAAAGGAGGCCCTCCTCGGAGGGGAGGCCCCAGGGCCCTTATAGATAATTATAAGTTGGTGTCAATGAGCTCACACTACGTGGGAACTGCTAAAGCTCCTCCGATCCAAAATATGCTCCGCGGCCCCCGTTTTATATCAACGTTCATATAAAACTCAATTTTTTGAAGCAGCCTTTTGCCATTTGCCTTTTAAACTTCACTGCAAGAGCAGCATCTAACAAGGTCTTCGAGCAGAGCGACGTAAGATGTCTTTTTTCTATGATCAACCCCAGGTGGTAATGCAAGATTGAAACTCTCGCAAAGGAGTTTTAAGACTGCGAGTTCGAGATTTTTGAGTGTTTTATTCTTGACCATGGAACAGTTGTACTGTTGGTAATGAATAGAATGAGTTACATTTAACCGCTCAAAAATAGACTCCTTAGCATTTGACAAATTAAATTCTTCCTCCATAGCAACGAGATCTTGCTCAGTTACAGCTTGTGCGTAGGGGGCTGTCTGCTGTTTCACTTTTGCTGCCATTCTAGAAAAAAATGAAGCTACTTGTTAAGTAAAAAAAAAAACTCAGAGACACTGAACAAGCGTTCCCCGTCAATTCCTTTGCTCTTCTCATTTCTGTTGCAACAATTTCCGCGTCGACCTTCTTGCCGCTTTCTTGTCCGATGGTAAGTCAGGTACTCTCGTAGCTTTTTGTTAAACCGGTAGACTTTCTTTACTTGTTTTAAAGCGAAGCCTTCAGGCAGTGTTACATGTCCAGTGCTACGAGGACAGGTTTCAGGAGGTAGAGGAATAGTTGGCACGGAACTTGAACCTTCCTCGAGCCTTGCCGCATATTTAACCTTCGCTTTACCAAGAAGTGTCTCCCTTTCAACCGTCTTTGTGCATGTTCTGAACACGAGATGCTTTTCTAGAGAAGAGTGCCGTTGGAAACTATGCGTGCAGCCCTCCTTTGGACATGGAAACACTTGATCCCTAGTACAGTCTTTCAATTCGACAAAGTCAGCCATGTTTGGATTTTCAGAACTTGCACCACAAGCCCCCCCAAGAAGAGAAGCAAAGCTACAGAATGACATCGTTTTCTGTTTATGCTCTATGAAAAACCTCGCACGTGTTTACCTTTAAGAAAAAGACCGTGGTTGCATCATAGAGAATTATCGCCCGGACTGCAACACGGTACAATTGCTACCGTGACAGAAGTCCTTTTTATCAAGTTTTATGACAGAAATGTGGCCATTTTTCCCAAAAAGATAAGAGTAAATAGCATAAAAAGGTTGGGCTGTTATCTTGAGGTGAAAAACTTCACAGCAGAAGCTTGCGGTGTTGCGTGACTTTGTTTACTCACATAACTTTTTCCAAGATATCCAAGATATTTCAAAAGAAATATTATCGCAGTTGCAGAAAACGTAACTATTCAACTAAGAACGATGTCGATAATAAACCACTTGTAAAAATGGTGAACTATACAGCGGCCCTTATCTATAGTTAGGTGTAGGTAGTGCTGTTGAAATAGCGAGTCGACAATAACAGTCTCCTGCAATTCAAATTAACAGAAAAGTTCGTATCTACACATCAATTTACAGCCCTCTTCAGCAATGTCTGCGGATTTTTTATTCTATAATTTCATATCATTTCCATATCAAAGAGTTTTTTAACCATCTTTAACTATCTTGTTTACTTCGTAGCTCTCAAGTACGATTTCTACAACTAATTTGCATCATGCAAATTCTTGACCTTGGCCACAGTGCGTTGCAAACTCTTTTATTTTGCCGGCACTTTTCTTAATTACCCAGATTTTTTATTTCATATTATTTTCATATAAAGACCAAACTTTGTGCCAGCATGTAGTTTGATATGATTTCTCACATGCCAAGACGCGTTTTGAAGGCTTGAAGTTGCTCGATTTTTCGCTTTTTGCAACAAGCGTTTGACTGCACTTTGTTAAAAAAAATCATGTGAATTTTAAAATTAAATCAAAGCTCCTTAAAATGCCACAAATAAAAATCAAATGAATTATACTTTGAAGTAAAAACACCCCCGATTTCTTCCCAAACATCCTCCTTCAGTACTCGCACACTAAAGTTGGTCAATTTTACTGTATTTTTTTGCATAATTAATTGGGTAGAAACCCAAATTTTCGTTTTTCCCCATTTTCTCGGAAACATTTGATTTTTCAAACTTCGAAATATTTTTTTAATACATCTCCCTAAAAGGGTTTTCCAGACATATCATCAGAATTTTCGATTTTTTTAGCCTGGCCAGCGATTCTCGATATTTACAGTCATGGACTCTTAAAAACTGCTGACGGGTCGTGTAACGATACTGAAATAGCTTTGTCATTACATCGTCATTGTTATTCCTTTTTTTATTGATTACTCTGCACGTCACGTCCAAACGGAAAGCTTTCAGTTTCTGTGCGCATTCAGAGGACCCCCAATCGCCTTCCAAGAAGAGCCATGGGTATTCTCCAAATTCGTATATCTTTCAGTTTCAGAGCAAGTCATTATTCATTCACTGCAGAATAAATCTCAGATTTATCTAACAGCGATAGAAGGGTGTCATTCCTTTGAGGTGAGTACCATAACTGTATACTTACCTCACCAAGCGAGTGAAGTACAGTTCTTATTTCATTAGTACGTTGCTATATGGCTTGTTGTTCTGTATTGGATGTTGTTATTCTTTTGTCGCCCACAGTTTCAATTGAGGGGCAGGTTGATTTTAAAGCGAAATTGGATCTAACCTTCATCAAGAAGGTACTTTTAATGAAAGAATTGAAATCATACGAACCTGCACACTTTCAAACCTGTGGATAAGTTGTGGGCTGTCTTGTAAGAGGCACGAAAAACTACTTTTAAGCGGAGTAAAGTATCTTAAAGCTAGATGGAATTAATTACTCATGCATTCCAAATGCATAGTTGAGTTTTAGATACCACGGTACTGGATTCATAAACTAAAGAAACTCCTTTATTTTTTTTTTTTGAAAGAGGGGGGAGTGGGTGATTACGCCTGTACAAGTAATCTTTCTTATCTCTTAGCTTAGCAGATGAACGATGTGAAGAAACGCAAACCTCTGTGACAGATATCTTTCGTTCTAATGTTAGGACTGTTTTGATTTAAATTGTAATCTGACTTGCTACTTTTCATTTTATTAATTCTTTATCCTGACATTCCAACTTCCCATTTAACCTTATTTTATAATTGGAGTCCATGAAATTTCTAAGGTAATGAACAAATGGTTTATGAAAACGATACGACGGCTCGAAAAGCAAAACATTACCAGTTCCGGCTTTGATCTCCAAGTTTCAGTATAAACATGTCACACATCAGTGATTTTTGACAAAGTGTGACTTGGCAATTTAATCTCATGAAATTTCAAACTTCTGTTGTAAGAAATAGGGACCATAAGAAAACCACGACGGCGACGGCAACGAGTACGTGGAAAAACAAAAAATCTAATTGGCAGAACTATAGCTCAACACGCGCGTTTTAGAACTTTGTACACTTCTCAGCTGTCCTATACAAAGCAACAACGTGAAATCACCACAATTTGCGTCGTCTACGAACCGAAACCGCGACGGCAAATTTTTTAAATTTCCATTTGGAACTCAACGCTTCTTTTATACGTTATGCTAAAGTTGAGGTGTGGCACCGTATGAGACGGTAAACAAATGCAGCCATTTTTTAAATTCTAATTTAAGGCAGAAATTCATTTTTAATCGAAGTTTTCCTCGGCGTTGCCGTCCTGACCGCTTAAGGTCCCTAACATCCTTTTGAATGAAACTGCCATCGACTCAATAAAGGAAAGAGATTTGAGTAAATTTTTTCCCAATTATCTCTGCGATCATTGATCCAAGCGTTGAAAAGAACTCGCCGGAGTAGATATTTAGTGTAGTCGTGATGTATTTCTGGTTTCCATGCGATGTAATTAAAACCAATTCTTCTCAGTTTTTAGCAAAATTAGATAAATAAGATTTTCAAATAATACCAGGACGTTTTCATCATAAACATGAGCCAGTACCGTTCTGTTATTGAGCAGTTGAGAGCAGCATTGATTTTCAAACAGCCTTTTTGAGTTACAGGCATCTGATGGTAAAACTGAGCCTTAGAACTCTAGCATTTAGCTTAGTCCAGAAAATTGCTAAAAGCTGTTGAGAAATACACCGGCATCTTTTCATACCATTTATAAAGGAACAAACGGAACAAAAAAAATTGTGGTAGCATTAATACATCAAAGGATTAGTGTTTTCAAATGGCCCCACTGAAAATAAGCACATATCAATAGGAAGCGTATGTGCTTTTACACTTAATTTTTTATTCCTGGGTTTCTTTCATCATTTTTATTGACAGAATTAATTCGTAATGCAACTTCGCGTAGAGCAATTTAGGGATAATCATGCAGAAAAGGTTTTAAGCCCTACGAAACGATTTGTTACCTTTTTCATTCCTAACTTCCTTTTTCCTGGATTGTGTTTTCAAAAAACTGCATTCCTTCCTGGTCAATCAGAATGGAGAAATGTTTTGGAATAAATTTGCATTCGTAAATTTAATTCAAAGACTGGCCCGTGCAATTTTGTTGATCGTTGAAAATTCTCTTCGTGCTTATTTCTCTAAATAGCACTCGAAATCATGTGATTGCCTGTACAAATGGATTGCAACTTTATATTGTTTCCTGGACTTTAGCGCGTCATGTAACATTTTATTTATTGTTCTTTCAGAAAAGAGCTGGAAACATGGCGTCAAGAAAAAATCAAAACATTGCCATTCCTCTTTGTTTACCCAACAACTGCCGGTGGAACGCAGCAACTGGAAAATATATTAAAACCGGACGACAGCGAACGTCTCTGTATGTGGTGGAGGAAGCGCTGAAGAAGCTTAAGACTGTGAAAGGTATACTTTCTGTCCAATGCTTCATGGTCCTCAGTTTTTGCATAACAAGTTTTACTTTTTATAAATGTCCAAGCTCTTACTGGGCGCAATGGGAACTGCACACATGTAATCATGAAATAGATAAGAGGAGCGTCATGGCTACCCCACTTGCCTGCATCTAACTAGGGAACGGGAGGGTGGGGAGACTGATTTTGTTTACAGTTCACTAACCTGTTTTCGCACGCCTAAAAAATTGCTTAAGTGGGGGGACGGGAGGGTGATGCTCCTTTTTACTCTATCGACAATAAATATCCTTACCCATCAAATGTCGTCTGTGAATGTAAAGTTCTCTACACACACACGTTCAAGGTAGGCATTTGGAAGAATGTGCAATTGTTAGTATATGTAATCACATGAGGCCAAGTACTATTAAGGATTAATTGCACGAGAGTTTTCAAAATTTTCCAAAATTGCCCGAGTCGCGAAGCGACTCGGGCAATTTGGAAAATTTTGAAAACTCAAGTGCAATTAATCCTTAATAGTACGAGGTCTCATGGGATTACTTGTTTATCAATAAAGGGCGAAATTTATACGAAGGAAAATCACGCGCGCAGTCTATTTTTATCTGGGAAGCCTGTTTAGCGCTACGGCAAATCATCAATCAAATTGAACTGACCAATCGATTCAATGAAATTTTATTCTCCAAAACTGTGTCGTGATACACTGCCAAAAGTCTAGAAAACAAAGCTCATTTCAACAGAGTGTTTCTGCCAACAGAAAAACAACAAAGTGCTTTTAACTGAACAAGGTAATCATGCTCTCTCTTGATTACTAAAAATGCCCTCGATTAAGAAAAAATGCCCTCTCTCTCAACCAATCAGCGCTCAGTAATTTTGCCCTTTATTGATAAAATAATGAAACACAAAAATGATTATTATAGAATAAAAATGGGCAGAGTGATATCTGCTTTCGTTCGATTCGGTTTTATAGTTAACGTGGATCTCGAGCTTCTCAGTTTATCTTGATAAAGTTGTTTTAGTTTCAACAGTAACTCAGAGGGGTCGCAGGTTTTTCTTTTATAATCCACGATTCAAATATTTCGTTTTGCATACTTAACCAATCAGAAACACGACTTAGACGCACCACAGATTAGTCACATTACTTTTCCTACAATTGACTGGTCATAATGATGTTCATTTTGATTTGCGACTGTCACTAGAAGCACATTAAAAAACTGCTTTTTGGCTTTAAAACTTCTCTTCTGGGCTGGATCTTAATCTTGGAGATTAAAGTCGAACTCGTTTATCAAATTCGGTCTACCTGTGATAAGGCTAATAAATTCCTTTGTATGCCCATATAATAAATTGGTGTGACTGTTTCAAACGTAATTTAAAGTGATTTACAACTGCTAAAGTTTTATCGATATTGATTAAGATATGTTTCATTACATTTCCCATGTGTAGGTCCCGTGTGTGTTGTATCGATCGCCGGTCCATACAGAAAAGGGAAGTCGTATATTTTGAGCGAAGCTTTCGATCAACCCGAGGTGTTCCCTCTCGGGCATCATTTTGATCCTGAAACTGTTGGAATCTGGATGTGGATAGTGCCACAAAAAATGCGGGTGAGTTTACATTAATCAAGTAATTAAAATGCTTCATCCATAGCTTGCAGTTGCGTTACTGGCAAAACAATGTAAGTGCTTGAAAGAAAGCTTCAACTGTTCATTTTCTCCTGGTAACTGTGGCTGTATCTTTCTCATTTATGGACACGATTATTAAATTTCAATTGGCAAAAGCATCGCAGTTTTCGAACTCATTCAGCATTAAGGGTACAGGACAGATGTTTTGATTTGTAGACCAGATTTCTATGTCAATAAAATGTGTTTTAATGACTATATTTAGGGCTTATTAATGTCGAATTAACTTGTTGGAAGGTCCTTGTTAAAAAAGCTGAGGTGGGGGCAGGAGGTTCAATTTCTGCACTGCTGTGTTCGGCAATAGGAAATTTAAGAGGAAACTTAAAAAATGAAGAATCACTCTTATAACATACATTTTTCAAGAAAAATTTGGCATCCTTTGTCTGTGGAGACGTTGCGATAATCTCAAATTTATGAAAGCTAAGAAATGTCAAAATTTGAAATCACTATACCCCCCGTTTCTAGCCAAAACTAAGTTGCACTGCTTTAGCGGTCATTTCAGAATAGCAAGTTACCGCTGCCTCCAAAACAAGTTAAATTGGAATCACCCCTTCACACTAGAGCTTGCGCAACTTGAAACTGACTGTTTCTGTTTTTCAGGACTCCACTGGCAGGGAATGTACCGTGGTCTTATTAGACTCAGAGGGAATTGATGCAGTGATGGGAGAAGGTTTGGATGACAATCAGATATTTACTCTCACTGTTTTGCTGGCTTCTGTTTTGATCTACAACTCAGCAGGGGTTCCCACCAGACATGACCTCAATGGATTGGAGTATCCTTCACCAAATACGTCAGATTTTAGGGGTGGAGAAGTAAGCAGAGGAAGAGAGTCCATAAATGAGGCATATTTCTGTGTGTTCTTAAAGGCTTGTATAAGTGAAATACAGGCTCGGTATTTTAACGGTTTTAACGCGTATTCCAAGAGAAAATTTCATATGGATGTAAAATTTATCTTAAAAAAGGTTGCTGAAAAGCACTTGGAAAGCATGTGTAAATGACTTCGGCTGCGCAAAGTGTTCTCGCATGATTTTTAACTAGTTCTTGAAGCCTATTCGCTAAAACCGATGCATGTACTGTAACTCTGACACGAACGATCCGATTTTTTGATCACAAACCTTTTACTTAGCGTTGATGGATGAGTAGGGCTTATATCTCAAACAGAGAATGGTAGTCGACCTTACACTGGAAAAACTATCGTTAAAACGAATTTTCGTCTATCCTCTTCAGTATGCAAGCGTAAAACTTTAACCCTTTGACAATAGGATTTTGTGCCCAAAAAGAGAACCAAGCTGAACAAAGAGGAGACAGAAAAACTATCGTTCGCGATAGATGAAACGAAAACATTTCTTAACATTTCGCAGTTTTATTATGAAGTTGTCCCAACGAATAAGACTTTGCTCCAACGACGGCAGTGTGAGCGCGAGCAGCCCTCGAGAGGACACAGAATTCTTCCACAAGACTTTTCCATTCTTCATCTGGCTTCTCAGGGATGTTACTCAGTCCATTCCAACAGACTGCAGTGACATTAAGGAGTATTTCCTAACAAGGGTAAGGCGACTCATTTTGAAACAGAAATGACAAGAGAATTAGTCAAACGCTTCCCTGAAAAACTCTTTGTCACAGCCGCAGAAATACTGATTATATCACTGTTTTCTCGGAATAGACTCTTACAGTTTGTTATATGAACAAAATAACCGAGTATTCGAGAACATGGTTTTGTTTCTTGGTTGTAAGGTTTATTGTTTAACTTTTTGGAGATGTACAGGTTTTTAAAATGGAAGGAACTTGGTTTTTTTTCTGTTTTTTTTTTTTTGTAACTATGTATATATCTCTCTGCGAGTCGTCTAAACTTAGACGTTCTCTTAACTCGACCAAAAATAATGATAAAATCTTTCTTTATTCTTTGCATACAGTAATTGGATAAGTCTGCTCAGTTAATTTACATATTGACTTTGCTTAAAACGTAGTCGTGTTCTATACACAAAGAGGGACTGATTGACTGGTTTACCTTGATTACAGTGATCACTTATCACATTGTAATGTGCTCCATATCCTCAGCGATGGGGATCTAAATCTTGTTTTGGCTTGTGATACAAACGTCTCTATGAAAGCGATGACAGAGGATCTTGGTTTTGTCACAATAAAGTTCCCCTGATGACCCCTAAAAGACTCTGTAATAGTCTTGTGACCCTCCCCCACCCCTTCATTGGCAACTAATTGGCAGTCAATTTTCCATAGTATCCCCTTCATGCTCTGTTGGCAACGACTGATCCCCACTCCGTTCCCCACTGAAAACCATCTTCCCTCCAGAATCCTTGGCTCCCACCCCAGGAGAAAAAGACTGGTTCCTTATTACAACTGCTTTTTAAACCAACCAGGTTTTCAAGGATCAAGGAAAGGAACGGGCGGACCACACCCAACGAGTCGCTGAAAGCATTTTGCGTTTCTTCCCCGGCTTCGAAGCCTTCAAACTGCCACCACCATCTGTAAGTGAAGAGGTCATGAAAAACATCAACAGAAACAAAAGTCAGATCAACAGTGAGTTCTTCTCTGGGATAGAGAAGTTCAAGGTCTTGTTGAAAAGAACTCTTACTCCTAAGCACAGCTTCAACGACGGAGAACTTGTGACTGGTGAAGGTAAAGGCTACTATTGCATCTTCGTTTGGCTTTCATCTCCCGTGAGAGAGCAACTCGTAACTTCTCTCAGATTTCTATGTAATTTTCAGATGAAAATTACTGGTTTTGAAGACAAATTTCGAGGGATTAGCTTGATCTCTAGAATCTTAAGTCGCCGCCTACTTCTTGAATTATGGGAGTCACAATCTTATGCCATGCTTTTCTATTTTAGATTATTTTTTACACCGTTTGTCTACTGTATACTTTTCTAATTAAGTATGTCCTTAAACTTAAAGACAATTTTCATTCCTCGATAACCCACTCTGTTTCCAGGTTTGGCTGCCTTGGTTGAACTTTACGTGCAGGCCATCAATACTCCTGGAGTGATTCCTAATGTCCAGTCAGCTTGGGACGCATTTGTAGCAGATAAATGTAATGAAGCAACGCACGAAGCCATGAATGTCTACAGCGCCGTCGTGCATTCACAACTGTTCAATCAGCTGCCTTGTGACTCCGAAGACATTCGTAAATGTCATGAAACTGCTCTTGACCAAGCAATTGGTCAGTTACAAGCTGAAACAATCGGAATATCCTCTATTACAACCGAGAGGTACCTCAACGAGCTAGTGGTAAGGAGTTTTCACACATTGCTTAAACATTCCTCATTCAGTACTTTGGAGTAAAATGATACCGACGAACTTTTGCAAACTTCGTCCAACATTTTTGTGGGGATGAATAAAATTTTCGATTTGTGGTAGAATTCTAACAGGACAAACTCTTTATGATTTGACTCAAGGTTTCGGATCTTGGTGAAATATTTAAAAGCAGCAGAGTACCTGGTCCGAAATCGAGTGCGGTGAAAATAATAGGTTGTGCAGAAGCATTTCCAAAGCAATGAAATATCCTTGGTTCTTCTTCCACGAGGCTCAAGACTTTCCTCAAGCTTTCCCGACGCTTGTCGTTACACATTTTCTGATGACTATTTTTCGTGAACGTTTCCGCGCCAGGTGGAGGCTACTGCTTGTTAATTTCATGGCGGCATCTAATTGACCTAACTCTAATTTATAAGCGATAAATATTTAGTAACTGTCTGGTTATACAACCATGAATGCCACGAAATAATAGTTACAGTGCTTCCCAACATTCATTGTTGGACTTACTGGGGGAGAATGTTCGTAAATTTCAATTATTTTGGCACAAGTTACTCACAGAAACAACAAATAAATGTCCAGTTAAAGTTTGGGAACAAACAACAGCACGCAAAGATGAACACTGGTATTTACTGTAAATATAAAACGGCTTTTTTTTATTTTTTATTTTTTTATTTCTCAGTCGTTTGCTGACCGAGATTATGTCACGTGGCAGACTGAGAATGATCAGTTTACGCGAGAGGCTTGTGACGCTCTCCTGAAGCAACTCAAAAAGCAACACTTGGATCCAATCCTCGACCAGCTCCATGGAAAGGAAGGCGCCAAAGTCATGTTCGATGACATTGTAGCAGGTTACAAAAAGATTGAGCAGGACTACAAAGCTCGTGCCACCGGAGCTAAACAAGTTTGTGCTGCTGTGTTCTTCGAGTTTCATCCGGTAAATAGGGTTTTTTACTTGGAATTAAAAATTCAGACCAGAAATGAGACAAATTAATGAGGTTTCTAATCTGTCTTCCTTTTTGTTTTCATTGACGTTAATAGTTTAACGGACAGCGAAAAAATACAAACCAAATTCAGTTCCTTTAATACAAGTACATTGCGATTCTTGGTCTTAGTAACTATTATGTTGTTACAAGAGAATATAACTTTATAATCTCTTGGTAGTTACCACAAAGAAAACCAACAGACAAAGCAACGATGTAAGCGAAAGTTCTACTTTTATCACAGGAACTTATGACAGAAATGCAACAATACTTGGGCGTGCTGAAACAATTAAAGGACTTTGACGAGAACTTGAGTCGAGAAATTGCCGCCAAAGCCTATCAAGAGCAAGAGAAGATAAAACTTGAGGTACTGATGACGCAATTTTAATCGACTTAATAATCATATTACTTTTTAACGGAAAAAAAAATTGAGAATGATAAATGCTAGGAACGGAGAATAGGAAATGAAGAATAGGGAAAAGGGAAATGGGAAGAGGGAAGAAGAAAGGAAAATTGGGAATGGAAAATGGAATAGGAATTGTTTTTGTTAACGTTCTGCGGCTAAAGAAAAGGAACGGAAAATAACATCCTATCTTCAACAAACTTAATCAACTGATTAATAAGAGAACAAAAGCCGATTGAAGTTCATGCTTTCTTTCTCTGTTCTTTGTCAAAAACATTGCTATATTAATTTAGTTTTAATGGCGAGGATATAGAATTTCATCATCTGCTAAACAAAGCCTATACTGATGTGACTTTTCGTTCTCATTTAAGGAGGAACACGAACGTTTACAACAAGAAAATCGTCAGCGCCATAAGGAAGTAAGACATTTTAAGTCAATGTCAGTATCTGAGAAATTCTAAACCTACCCCCCCTCCCCCCCAACTCAACAACAATCAAAAAATAACAAGTTAGGGTTAATGTTGGGTCAGGGGAGGGGTAGGTGTGCAGTTGATCAGATTCTGATATTGATCCGACATTTTCACAACCACTAAAGAAATCACTCCACGCTTCAAAAATCGTCAAATCTATCATTTGACGATTTCCATTTGTGCAGATCACAAAAAGAGAATAAAAGAACAAAGAGGACCATTGACTGCTTTTTGTGAGTTTTGCCTTCTCAGACGGAAGCGCACACTCATTCCAGGGAACTAGGTTTTTTGAGTAACATCCGATTTGGTACCAAGGCAGATGAAATAAAAACAAAAAAGAGGCTGACATCTTGTCTGAACGAGTCCTGGTGCAGGGGCCGCCCTCTCTGTCTGCTTATTTTCTCTTGGTTCCATTCCAATGTAATTTTATGATGTGTCAACTTATATTGATTATTCCTTAATTTCTTTGTTATAAGAATATTACCTCATAATAACTTTATCTTCAAATGCCTCAAAATATATATTTAGAGTGAATAACTCTAGCAAGAATATATCCCACTAGGTGTTTTCTGTGAAAGATTTTTCAGTATTTTTACCAGAAATTCATTCTGAGTGACTGAGAAATTTGATGATTTTAGCCCAGAGGTGAACAAGAGTAGATGCCATAATATTTTTCATCATGACTCTCCTATAGCTATCTGACCTGAACTTTTTCCTGTCTGGTAATTAGATGGAAATGCTGCAGGCAAAACAGGAGCAAGAAAAAAAGAGACTCCGTGAACAGATGGAAGCTGAAGCAGCGGTCCAACGACAACAAATGGAGAACATGGTAAGGGCGAGAATGATGGAGGTTGAAAAACACAGACGAAATTTCATGCAAGAAAACCAAGTACTCAGCCAACGACTTGCACAAATGCAAAAATCAAATGAAGGCATGGAGAAGACAGTGGAGAGCTTGAGACAACAGCTGCTACTCAATCAGAGCCGACAACGGCAAGTTCAAAAGCCGGGATTCTTTGATAGAGCGCTGCAAATGATACCAGTCTTGGGCGGGGTCGCTAGCACCTTATCAAAGTGTAGCGTTATGTAAAGCTTCTAAAGTTATCCCTTATCATGAACACTGGTTCATGATAAGATTTCATTTTTAAGTAGTGGCATTATATCAGCTTACAGTTAATTATAATTTGCAACGAGTTAACAACCTTAAAGTTATGTAACACGTTTCCCGCCAATGGATATGATGTTGATTTTATATATGAAGTGAAAATTGTGTGTTGTCCGTGATACCAACTGGGCTGCAAAACAACTTGAATGTGATCTAAAATAAAATAATTTGAAAAAAGGAAGCCAATCTGCTCTTCTGATTATTTAATAGCTGGCGCAAACAAAATCCCCTTTTCGAGAGTAAAGCCTGAAACCTAACCATCGTAAGCTCTGAGTACGAGAAATATGATAAAGGTTGGGATATCAAGCTTGTTTTAGAGTGCTCTAGCGGAAGAGAAGTGGGGGAAGAAGGGGCTTTTTTTGTAAGGACAAAATGAGCTTGTCAGCTAATTAGAATCAATAGTATTAATTGAATTAATAAGTTTCAATTAGTTGAGTTGAGTAATTTGAATTAATTAACTTTAAAAAATTGAGCTTGTCTTCTGCCAGGGTCTCAGTTGCTGGAAAAGATCGAATTATTGGAAGAGTGAATTGGGAAGGAAAGGAAGCTCCTCTCACTCTTCCCGAGACCTCCAATGTCTCAGCTCACCCCTTTTTTGGCCTTCTCCATAAAAGGAGAGACTGGTACATAAAAATAGAGGGGCCTTTCTTTCTTCGCGTCAAAAAGTCACGTTTGGGATCTATGCTAAACTATTTCACTCTGATATCCTAAGAAATTCGTTTAGCGTTCTGATCGGCAAAAAAACTGAGTAACAACTCGGTACTTTATTGCTGAAAAGAACTTGCATTTCCGGTTACAATATAAGACGTTTCACGCGGGATTAGAAATTAGGGAACTTCAGCAAACCACGACAACGGCAACGAGGATGTGGCAAAACAAAAGATCTAAATAATGAGCAGAACAATAGCTCAGCGCGTGCGTTTTAAAACTCTGTTCATCTCTCAGCCGTCCACTGCAAAACAACAACGTGAAATCACTAAAATTTGCGTGATCTGAGAAGGGAAATACCGTCGGCAAATTATCTAAGTTTCCAATCCGAACTGGACGCCACTCCTATACTTTATGCTGACATAAAGATATAACACCGTAAGAGACGGGAAACACGTCCAGCAATTTCCGAAATTCTAAATAAACAATAGTCTTTATTTGGCGCAAATACATGCACGATGGTTTTTGGTTTTTTTGCTGTTCGGACATTATCTGTTCCGAGATGCGAAAAGTTTCTGAGTGAAGCTCGAGGAAAAGTGAGAGCTTTGAGCAACAGGTAATGTTTAAGGACAACTATACAAGAATATTTTTGCGCCAAATTGAGGCTGTTGTGTTTATCTTTCGTCAATTATTTTTGCAACGCGCGGGGAAAGTGTTTACAAACAGTTCACCGTTCATTACGTAGGATGTTCACTTTTCAGTGTTCGCTGGTACAGTTGTATGAACACAAAACATGTCCTTCCTTCTGTAACAACCACAAAACGCTCTCTAATCTTGAATTAAATTGGAAACGAAGACTTCTATTGTAGTGGACGTTAAGGTTTGAAAATCGGGGAATGTCACTTGGAGTGTATTCACGGATATTCTCTAGTTTTAGCTGGTTTATATTCGGTCACGTGACGCATTTAGACCAATCCCGCGCGCAAGCAAAAATATTTGATGGATTATATTCTGAAATATCAGTCTTCTTACTGCTCGCTAAATCAGTTGCCACAGAAACCTTTTTTCAGAGCGCTTACTCATTTTCATCATCATCATCATCGAAATCGCCACTATCTTCATCATCGCCATCATCATCATCGAGATGCTCACTATCTTCATCTTCGTCATCGTCATGGTCATCATCCTCACCTTCGTCATCATCATTATCGTCGTCGTCGTCGTCGTCGTCGTCGTCATCATCATCATCATCTGGCTCTTTTCTGAACCTTGTTCCTTTTTTTTCCAGCTCAGCTTTTGTAAGTCGATTCATCACCCCTTCATTTCCCATTTCATATCCCTATCACAGGACAACAAAAGGACACAACATCAACCACAGCACCAATTATGTGAAACTTTCATCCAGAATTTTCACTCCAGATAAATATCAAAAGGATCTTGATTCTCCCCACGTATATCGGAATATTACGTTTCCTTCGCTATGGCAAAATACACCTGTTTCATTAATTTCTATGTAACACTCAACTTACATTTTAACACACAAGATAGATACTTCTCGCAATCAAAGATATTTGTCTATATTGCGAGCAGTGAAAGTGGACATTCACTTTTGAATTCAAATAGCTACAAGTTACTAAGACTATTTTACAACAAGGAAAACGATCTGTTACAAATAACAAAAACAATGCTCCCTGACGACTAGTGCAGGCGCTTTATTTTGTTTAGGACGTCTTAATATTGGTCTTATTTTGGATACAGAATGGGAACATCGAGCCGAAGCGCTTATCAGAGGTGACCCATGTGAAACACTTTCTTGATTTTTTTCCTCCTTTCCCCACCCACCCCCTCCAAAAAAAAAAATATATATATATCTATATATATATATTTATCCATTGAATTTTGTGCCTGCCTGTCTTCTTTTCCAATTCCTTCTCGCTATTATCTCTTTTTGCCTTATTACCAACCCCGGAGTACTTTGCTCTTTATTCTATGTTATATTTTCGTTTAACACACCAAAAAGGTTTTAGAGTGTAAGGTTTGAAATAGTCATTTTAACAAATTTGCTATTTACAATGTTTTTCTTTAATTTTTCTTAAAAGAAAAAAAAATAGGCTTCTATGACAAAGGCGACCGAGGGCTCTACGAGCATCTGACAGAGTTACTCAACATGAGCAGTGCAGCTAAAGACAAAAAGAATCCAACTGATAAATAAGAAGAATGAAACCATTTAAGTGCAAGTAAATTATAGCATCGTGTCAGTTTCTTTTTGGATGTTAATCATTTCACCTACAACTTTTGGTGAATTATTTCCTATCATCAGTACAAACCTTTAAAACGTAAATTTATGACAATAGAATCAACATGATTTTCGCTTTTCAAAACACACATTTGGATTTAAACAAGAAAAAACCTTTTTTGTTTGGTTCTTTCTATTTTGTTGGGTTAACGCTTCCTGTTAATAAAAGCGAGTAGATGCTGGTACAGATTGTAGGGAACAACGCCATCAAATCCAAAGCATGTATGGGTTCACAGTAATTTCAGGGCACATAATCAAACCCAAATAAAAGCATCCCATAATAACAACACAAGCCTAAAAAATTCAAAAATTACCATTGCGCAAAGAAGTTTGGTCCGAGAAAAATTCTCACAATTCATCTTTTTTTCTCTCTCTTATGTAAGGCATAGCCACAGAAGATTTCTCTAACAAGATTTCGCTAAAACTCAAAGGCCAATCGAATGAACCCGAATGAATCAAACTCCCAAAGTTTTCAATTAGCTTTCAGTAATCAAGCATCCACTATACTGGAAACTACTGTCTGTAAATATTATCAAAGTTTTGAAAGCTAAATTTGTTTATGTCTTAATTTAATCTTTCAAATTTTTCTGGAAACCATAGTCAAAGAAGCATTACATGAACCATTAAAGTACTTAACATGGGCTGTTTACGGTCTCCGCCATCCCCAACAATTGCTCCTGATGTCACAAAATAGAAATAGTAAATTTCGAAAACAGTGACTGTTCCTGATGTCTACATTCTTTCCCATGCAGACTACTCTGATACATTTTATCAAAAGCAACTTGCTGGAAACAATATCTAGTACTATTCTGAGGAACGTCTAACTAAAGATTAGATACAACTGAGTGAAACAACAAAAAGACTCTTACATGGTAATCAGTGACCAAAGTGATGCCTCTCCCTTTTACTGCTGTACACAACTCTTCAATCTCTGTCTTTGTCATCTGAAAACCACTCAGGGACAGGAAACTCAGCTTAGGAACACTGCTGAGATGCTGGACCAGGTCCCTGACTCCTCTGCCGAGTGGATTCCACGCTAGAGTAAGATTGCTCAGCTCTGGTACATCCTTAAGTGCACGAGCCAGTGCTGATGCTTCATCTTCACCCATATTTGTACTCGACAGGTTCAGCTTAGTCAGATTGGGTACACTGTTCAGGTTCTTGGCTAGTTCAATGATCCCGTGACCCAGTGCATTGAAAGTCATATCAAGATCGCTCAGCTCTGGTACATCCTTAAGTGCACGAGCCAGTGCTGATGCTTCATCTTCACCCATATTTGTATCCGACAGGTCCAGCCAAGTCAGATTGGGTACACTGTTCAGGTTCTTGGCCAGTTCAATGATCCCGTGACCCAGTGCATTGCTTGCCATATGCAGTTTTTTTAACTTGTTTAAGTACTGTAATGAGGCAGCCAGTGCAGCACATTCCTTTTCTCCCATTTGTACATGATCTAACTCTAAAATAGTCAACTGTGGCACGTGATGAAGATTCTCAGCCAAATGACTCACACCGCTGTGTAAGGGGTTCCATGACAAGCAGAGCTCATGCAAGTTTGGAGAGTGGTGCAGTGACTCAGCAATAAAAGCAGCACACTTTTCTGTTAGATTGATACCATAAAGTTCTAAACTGTGGAGATTGTCAGTAAAATTAATTCTGTGAATCACGCTCTCAATCGAATTAACTTCCAAGGCATTTTTCATCATCCTCCATAAAAAAATATCTCGAGGAGCTGTTAATAAAGGCAACAAGTTCTTCAACAGAACAAAATCCTCAACTGTTGTGTTACGTAACTGAACCTCTCTCACCAGTGACAAACAATGTTGTTCTGTCTGGTAAGATCTGTTCTCAGTCAAAGACAGCGCAATGTTGTTGTCTTCATTCTTTCCCAGATTATCCACAGGTGGCTGAGAAGAACAAACCGGTGTTGATATCAGTTCATGAAAAAGTTTAGAACGAAGAACAGTTTCTGTTATGCGATGTAGATAAATAAAGTTTCTCTTTTCGCTTTTTTCGAGGAAAAAGTCCGCATCGCATAAATCGGCGTATTTTTTTAAATCTTCAATTTTTCCAGAGCACGTTAAAACGACCGCGTTCAAGTCAAACAATGTGGATAGAAAATCATCAAACTTAATCTCCCAACGTGAATGAAATAAATAGTTGGGGAAGCTGGTGGTGTATTTGAAGAATTGCGTTTTGGCAGCAATAGACGAGTGTTTCCGATTAAGTATTACAACATGGTTAACACATGAGAGAAATACAGAATACACAGCTAGTCTGCCTGAGGCTGGACAACAGAACAAACAATCGACACAGAGTAGAATAAACCCGTATTGTTCACCTGACAAATCATGAACAGAAGGCGTCCTAGTGAAATTGTAATTTGTGAGACCTTCTTTCTCTCCGACATAACGTAGATGATCAAAAACAATGCCGACAGCATCTGATGACAACTCACAAACGAATTTCAGAACTTCAGCCATCTTCCTTGATTTTTCAAACGTATCCATTCTTAACAGGCAGGTGACAGTTTCATTCTTCTTGACCTTCACTTCTTGAACGATGAACCAGGCGGCAAGAAACTCCTGAACGGACTTGTGAAGAAAATACACGATCTTCTCACGATTCAAGGCGGAACGTTTCGAAACTTGGAAAAACCCGACATGAATAAGCTTCTCGAAGAGATCACCACGCAGAAATTTACTGAAGTTAAAATACAGGCGGTCCTCCAAAAGAGCATCGAGTGCAAGTTTTCCTATTTTGCAAAGTTCCTCTTGATATTCTTCTATGCTTTTATCTGTTGCGACGTTTTCTGAGTCTTTAGTAGCCATATGATCCAAGAGAGTCCGAATAAATTCTACGTAAATTTCCGCACGAGATGTTGGTAACTGATGCTTTTTCTTTTTCCACAGAAGACACAACATCAACAATAGTAGCGGAATCTCTGCCATCTTCACGAGATCATACTCCTTCAGGTATTCAAGTAGCCCTTTAACGTCCTCCTCATCAGGAAGAATCTTTCTTGCAAACTGTTCCTTCTGTTCCAAGCTATCGAACCCGTTAAGTTCAAACAAGGCGTCACTTGGCACTCTAAGCTCATCCTCTTTCACTGGTCGTGTTGTGATCATTACACAACAGAGTCTCAGTTGATCGCCTCTCCAAATCTGATGAATTAAGGATGATTTTCCACCGCTGTACTCATCATATCCATCCAAAATGAGCAGCACTTTCTCCTGGTTCTGACGGACATATTCATACAAGTTATCGACTGCCTTCGGTTCATCAGCAGACAACAGTTTAGCGGTTTCCAACATGGCACAGACGTCCCGACTATCACAAACGTCTCGTAACCTGATCAACAGTAAAAGGGCAAACTTTTTGAGGATCTCCTTTTCGCCATTTGCCCAATCCACAGCTACTTTTTGAGTGAAAGTAGACTTTCCTATTCCAGGTCTTCCATACACCAGAATTCGTCTACGCATGGGATGATGTTCGTCACCTTCAAATACTTCACTGCTGTCTCCCAGCTTTTTTTTCGTTGTCCCGTCAGGTTTCCTGTTGTCTCGTAAAAATGTTAACTGTATGTAAATGTCATTAATGTGTATCGTATCGTCTGGGTTCCATGGTGTTATTTTCACTTCACACATGGTGCCAGTGTAAAACGTCCTCAACTGTTTCTGGCACCATTCCAAAAATTCCGTTACAGACGAGTCTGTAGACAAAAAGCAAATAGCTTGTTAAAAATTGTCTACCTCCTACATCGAAAAGAACATTACTTGAGCAGGGTTTTTAAACAGTGAGGAGAATATTTCTCGCCAACTGTAATTTGTAACTTTGACAACGTCACTCTTTAATTCCGAAGGTAAATATTCACATTTTCACTATCTCGTCACTGCGGTTTTTTGTTTTTTTGATTTGTGCTTAATTCTCGAGTACAGTCCCCGATCGTCCCGTCAAGGGGAGAAGCGCGGGCTCATTTCACGAACAGCGATCGTTAATCGAGGCTATTGTTTGTTACACTACACACAAATCTTTAAAAAAATATATTGATTTGTTCTGAATATATTTGTTTGTTCTTATTATTAAGACGAACAAAAAGGGAAATCTCAAATATTGTAGTACCAATGAGTTTCAAAAGCTAATATTTCAAGCGTTAGCCCTTCGTTGGACTGATTGGGTTGTGTGTGGTTTATAAAATGGGGGTTGAGCTAAAAGGAGGGGAGGGGTAAGGCGGGAGATTCTATGTGTCTTATGAGTATGTTGCAGCTGAGCCTTCCCTCTCTTTCCAATGTAACAACCTTTTGAAGATTTTTCAGACTATTCCCTATTTTCATTGTCAAACGCCGTTAATCATGCTTCCACAATTTTGAAAGGACGCCCGACTGTCTTCCATTTTTCGAGTTTCTGCGAAAGCCTTACTAAATCTTCGTCGCTGGGAACTCCTTGCTTGACCACAGACATAAAGACATCACAGCGAAGTATCAAGATGAGAGGATAGCGAGTAGTACGTATTACATCTATTCGTGCCATTTTGCTGGATCCACGCATATTTATTTTACAAAGGCAGGGGGAAGGAAGATGGGGTTGGGGGTTGGGGGTTAACGGGCACGCCCATAGACATGTCCTCATTTTACCTCTTTTCTTTGGAGTCAAGGCGTCACTCGGAGACGACTCTTCATAACGGCGTTTCACCTTTGGCGGAGGCAAATGTTTAGTAGAACCACCTGCATGGTAACAAATGTAAAAAGATAATTAGACCAGAACATATTATTTGAGCCAACAGATTTATTGCAGCAATGGAGCTTTTTCCTTTCCTAATAAAACGTCTCCTGATGAATTTGTTTCAAGGCCAATTCGTACCACTGAATTATGCAACCCTACTTTGCATCATTTGACACAAAAATATACACGCCCACATACGCGACTAGAAGATTTCTTTTTTTTTTCTTTTTGTTTTTTTTCCAGCCAGTAAGAAAAATTGTCATCGCCGTGTAAACGGATTTGGTGACCTACCATTTATATCTCAACTTTGCGATCGAGCGAAAAGTTCTAAAAAACTCTTTTCCATACAGTAAGCAACTTGGGTAAGGCCACTCTAAATCTTCGTTACTAGGAACTCCTTGCTTGACAACAAAAATAAAGATATCACAGCAAAGCATCAAGATGAGGGGATAGCGAGTAGTACGTATTGCATCTATTCATGCCACTTGCTGGATCCACGCATATTTATTTTACAAAGGCAGGGTGAAGGATGATGGGGTTAGGGGGTGGGGGTTAGCGGGCACGCCCATAGACATGTCCTCATTTTACCTCTTTCCTTTGGGATTGAGGCGTCACTCGGAGACGACTCTTCATCACGGCCTTTCACCTTTGGCCGAGGCGAATGTTTAGTTGAACCACCTGCATGATAACGAATGTAAAAAAATAATTAGAACAGAACATTTTATTTGAGCCAACAGATTTATTGTGGCCAATTTTTGCCATTGCATTATGCATCCCTTCTGTGCATCATTGGGCACGAGAAATGCACATCCACATACGCGAACATATGTCATGTTCTTTTTTTCTTTTCTAGCCACTAAGAAAAATTGTCATCACCACCTAAACGGATTTGGTGACATACCATTCATATCTCTAGTTTGCAATCGAGCGAAAAGCTCTAAAAAAATCTTTTCCATACGACAAGCAACTTGGGTAAGGCCACTCTAAATCTTCGTCACTAGGAACTCCTTGCTTGACTACAAACATAAAGACATCACGGCGAAGCATCAAGATGAGGGGATAGCGAGCAGTACGTATCGCATCTATTCATGCCATTTTGCTGGACCCATGCATTTTCATTTTACAAAGGCAGGGAGAAGGAAGATGGGGTGAGGGAGGGGGGGGGGGGGTGGGGGGTTAACGGGCACACCCATAGATATCTCCTCACTTTACCTGCGACACGAGTTTTTCCTTTCTTCGGAGTTAAGGCATCATTTGGAGACGACTCTTCATCATGGCGTTTCACCTTTGGCCGACGCAAATGTTTGCTAGAATCACCTAAATGTCCACAAATGCAAAAAAAAAAATTAGACCAGATTTTTTTGAGCCAGCAGATTCCTTGTGGCAAAGGAGCTATTTCCTTTCCTCATACCACGTCTCCCGAGGAATTTGTTTCAAGGCCACTTTGTGTCATGTGCATCATTTTACACGAAATATGCGCGCCAACATACGCGAACAGAAGATTTCTTGTTCTTTTTATTCTGCCAGGACGAAAAATTGTCATCGCACGTAAACGGATTTGGTGACCTACCATTTATATCTCTTGCATATCGAGCGAGAAGCTTGAAAAAAATATTTTCCATACAATTAGCAACTTGGCGGGAAAAAAAAGACATTCATTAAAAATGAAAACTTTCTGCTTAAAAGTTTCAAGGTTTTTCCCTCGTTTAGGACCATTTCGTGCGATTGCGTTACGCATCCCTACATGTTATATATATCGTTTTACACGTGATAGGGAGGCCCACATACACAAACTGATTTTTTTTTCGAGTTTGGTGACCTATCCTTAACTTGTCTTTTTAAAATTCGAGCAAAATAATTGGAAATAACCATCCTTTTTGTAAAATAAACAGCCAGTGTAGAAAGACATAGTCGTTAAAATAGGAAGTTTGTGTATTCGTCTAAAAATTTATCTCTGATGAAATAAAACTCACCAGTTCGTTTCTTACGATCAATGGATACCAAAGCCTAAAAAGCAGGAGGAAATACTGGCAACCTTACGCTTACGGTTGGCAGTTAAGTAGTGAGTGAATTTTGCGCTACCAGAAAACTACATGAAAATATACAGACGCATCAAATGATCTTCCTTCGCTTTGATTTGGTTACCGACAAATGAAGCGACACTTTTCCAGTTTCGAGGCACTGTCAAAAACGTACATAAAAGATACAGTGGCCAAAAAGCATGGTGTCTGAGAATTTGGCACTATACTATAGGTAATTTTATTTTTATTGAATTGCAAGATTAGTGATATATTACCAGTGATAAATTGCTCGGCTAAATCTGTGCGATTAACCAATGAATGACACAATGCATCATGTAGGACCGTGTATGTTGCAGCTGAGCCATTCCTCTCTTTCCAATGTAATAACATTTTGTAGATTTTTTCAGACCATTCCCTATTTTCATTGTCAAACGCCGTTAATCTTGCCTCCTCAATTTCAAGACGACGACCGACTGTCTTCCAGTTATCGAGTTTCTGCGAAAGCCTCTCTAAATCTTCGTCACTGGGAACTCCTTGCTTGACTACAAAAATAAAGACATCACAGCAAAGCATCAACATGAGGGGATAACGAGTTGTACGTATCGCAACTATTCATATCATTTTGCTGGATCCACACATTTTTATTTTACAAAGGCAGGGGGAAGGAAGATGGGGTTGGAGGTGGGGGTTAACAGGCACGCCCAAAGATATGTCCTCACTTTACCTCTTTCCATTGGAGTTGAGGCATCACTCGGAGACAACTCTTCATGACAGCGTTTCATCTTTGGCCGAAGAAAATGCTTAGTAGAACAACCTGCATGATAACAAATGCGAAAAAATAATTAGACCAGAAAATATTATTTGAGCCGACAGATTTATTGTAGCAATGGAGCTTTTTCCTTTTCTAATAAAACGTCACCTGATGAATTTGTTTCAAGGCAAATTCGTGCCATAGCATTATGCAACCCTACTGTGCATAATTTAACACAAAAAGATCCACGCCTACATACGAGAACAGAGGATTTCTTGTTTTTTTTCCCAGCTAGTAACGAAAACTGTCATCGCCACGTAAACGGATTTGGTGACATACCATTTATATCTCTACTTTGCGATCGAGCGGAAATCTTTAAAAAAATCTTTTCCATACAATAAGTAACTTGGGTAAAGCCACTCTAAATTTTCGTCACTGAAAACTCCTTGCTTGACTACAAACATAAAGACATCACAGCAAAGCGTCAAGATGAGGGGATAGCGAGCAGTACGTATTGCAACTATTCATGCCATTCTGCTGGATCCACACATTTTTATTTTACAAAGGCAGGGGGAAGGAAGATGGGGTTGGGGGGGTGGGGGTTACCAGGTACGCTTATAGATATACCCTCATTCTACCTGCCAAACCAGTTTTCCCTTTCTTCGGAGCTAAGGCGTCACTCGAAGATGACTCTTCCTCACGGCCTTTCACCTCTGGCCGAGCCAAATGTTTAGTAGAACCACCTGCATGATTACAAATGTAGAAAAAAATCATCAGACCAGATGTTTTGAGCCAACAGATTTATTGTAGCAATGGAGCTTTTTTCTTTTCTAATAAAACGTCCCCTGATGAATTTGTTTCCAGGCCAATTCGTGCCATTGCATTATGCCACCCTACTGTGCATAATTTAACACAAAAAAATCCACGCCCACATACGAGAACAGAGAATTTCTTGTTCTTTTTTTTTCCAGCTAATAACAAAAACTGTCATCGCCACGTAAACGGATTTGGTGACATACCATTTATATCTCTACTTTGCGATCGAGCGAAAAGCTTTAAAAAAAATCTTTTCCATACAATAAGCAACTTGGGTAAAGCCACTCTAAATCTTTGTCACTGGGAACTCGTTCCTTGACTACAAACATAAAGACATCACAGCAAAGCGTCAAGATGAGGGGATAGCGAGTAGTATGTATTGCATCTATTCATGCCATTTTGCTGGATCCAGACATTTTTATTTTACAAAGGTAGGGGGGAAGGAAGATGGGCTTGGGGGGTTGGGGTTACCAGATACGCTTATAGATATACCCTCATTCTACCTGCCAAACAAGTTTTTCCTTTCTTCGGAGTTAAGGGGTCACTCAGAGACGACTCTTCATCACGGCGTTTCACCTTTGGCCGTCGCAAATGTTTAGTAGATCCACCTGCATGATAACAAATGAACAAAAATAATTAGACCAGAACATAATATTTGAGCCCACAGATTCATTGTAGCAAGGGAGCTTTTTCCTTTCCTCATGAAGCATCTTTTGATGAATTTGTTTCAAGGCCAATTCGCGCCACTGCATTATGCATCCCTACTGTGCCTCGTACGCATACGCATACATACATACGCGAACAGAAGATATATGCCTTTTTTTCCCAGCCAGTAAGTAAATATGTCATCGCTAAGTAACTGGATTTAGTGACACACCATTTATATCTCTTGTTTGCAATCGAGCGAAAAGCTCTACAACACCCTATTCCATACAATAAGCAACTTGGGTACAGCCACTCTAAATCTTCGTCGCTTGGGAACTTCATGCTTGACTACAAACATAAAGACATCACAGCTAAGTATCAAGATGAGAGCATAACGAGTAGTACGTATCGCATCTATTCATGCCATTCTGCTGGATCCGCGCATTTTTATTTTACAAAGGCCTTAGGAAGAACTATGGGGTTGAGGAGGGTGGAAGTTGACGGCACACTCATAGAATTGTCCTCCTTTTACCTGTGAGACGAGTTTTTCTTTTCTTCGGAGTTAGGGCGTCACTCGGAGACGACTCTTCATCACGGCGTTTCACCTTTGGCCAACGCAAATGTTTGGTAGAACCACCTGCATGATAACAAATTGTAAAAAAAAAATGAGACCAGAACACATTATTTGAGCTAACAGACTCATTGTAGCAATGCAGCTTTTTCCTTTCCTAATGAAACATCAACCAAAAGCATCAAGATGAGACGATAGCAAGTAGCGTGTATCGCATCTATTCATGCCATTTGATTGGGATCCGCGCATTTTTTTTTTACAAAGGACGTGGGAAGAAGTATGGGGTTAAGGGGTGGAAGTTGACGGCACGCCCATAGATATGTCCTCATTTTACCTGCGAGACGAGTTTTTCTTTTCTTCGGAGTTAAGGCGTCACTCGGAGACGACTCTTCATCACGGCGTTTCACCTTTGGCCAACGCAAATGTTTAGTAGATCTACCTGCATGATAACAAATGAACAAAAATAATTAGACCAGAACATAATATTTGAGCCCACAGATTCATTGTAGCATGGGAGCTTCTTCCTTTCCTCATGAAGCATCTCCTGATGAATTTGTTTCATGGCCAATTCGCGTCACTGCATTATGCATCCCTACTGTGCATCATTTTACGCGAAAAAAGCGCACCTACATACGAGAACAGAAGATATATGGTTTTTTTTCCCAGCCAGTAAGTAAATTTGTCATCGCTAAGTAACTGGATTTAGTGACACACTATTTATATCTCTTGTTTGCAATCGAGCGGAAAGCTCTACAACACCCCTTTTTTTTAAACAATAAGCAACTTGGGTACAGCCACTCTAAATCTTCGTCGCTTGGGAACTTCATGCTTGACTACAAACATAAAGACATCACAGCAAAGTATCAAGATGAGACGATAACGAGTAGTACGTATCGCATCTATTCATGCCATTTTGCTGGATCCGCACATTTTCATTTCATAAAGGCAGGGGGAAGGAAGATGGGTTTTGGAAGTGAAGGTTACCTAGCACGCCCAGAGATATGTCCTCAGTTTACCTGCCGAACGAGATTTTCTTTTCTCCGAAATTAAGGAGTCACTCGGAGACTTCTCTTCATCACGGCGTTTCACCTTTGGCCGACGCAAATGTTTGGTAGAACCACCTGCATGATAACAAATTGTAAAAAGAATAATTAGTCCAGAACACATTATTTGAGCTAACAGACTCATTGTAGCAATGCAGCTTTTTCCTTTCCTAATGAAACATCAACCAAAAGCATCAAGATGAGACGATAGCAGGTAGCGCGTATCGTATCTATTCATGCCATTTTGCTGGATCCACGCATTTTTATTTTACAAAGGCCGTGGGAAGAACTATTGGGTTAAGGGGTGGAAGTTGACGGCACGCCCATAGATATGTCCTCACTTTACCTGCGAGACGAGTTTTTCTTTTCTTCGGAGTTAAGGCGTCACTCGGAGACGACTCTTCATCACGGCGTTTCACCTTTGGCCGTCGCAAATGTTTAGTAGATCCACCTGCATGATAACAAATGAACAAAAATATTTAGACCAGAACATAATATTTGAGCCCACAGATTCATTGTAGCAAGGGAGCTTTTTCCTTTCCTCATGAAGCATCTCCTGATGAATTTGTTTCAAGGCCAATTCGCGCCACTGCATTATGTATCCCTACTGTGCAACATTTTACACGAAAAATGCGCACCTACATACGCGAACAGAAGATATATGGTTTTTTTTCCCCAGCCAGTAAGTAAATTTGTCATCGCTAAGTAATTGGATTTAGTGACACACCATTTATATCTATTGTTTGCAATCGAGCGAAAAGCTCTACAACACCCTATTCCATACAATAAGTAACTTGGGTACAGCCACTTTAAATCTTCGTCGCTTGGGAACTTCATGCTTGACTACAAACATAAAGACATCACAGCAAAGTATCAAGATGAGACGATAACGAGTAGTACGTATTGCAACTATTCATGCCATTTTGCTGGATCCGCGCATTTTCATTTTACAAAGGCAGGGGGAAGGAAGATGGGTTTGGGAAGTGAAGGTTACCTAGCACGCCCAGAGATATGTCTTCATTTTACCTGCCGAACGAGATTTCCTTTTCTCCGAAATTAAGGCGTCACTCGGAGACGACTCTTCATCACGGCGTTTCACCTTTGGCCAACGCAAATGTTTGGTAGAACCACCTGCATGATAACAAATTGTAAAAAGAATAATTAGACCAAAAGATTATTTGAGCTAACAGACTCATTGTAGCAATGCAGCTTTTTCCTTTCCTAATGAAACATCAAGCAAAAGCATCAAGATGAGAAAATAGCAGGTAGCGTGTATCGCATCTATTCATGCCATTAGGTTGGGATCCGCGCATTTTTTTTTTTACAAAGGCCGTGGGAAGAACTATGAGGTTAAGGGGTGGAAGTTGACGGCACGCCCATAGATATGTCCTCATTTTACCTGCGAGACGAGTTTTTCTTTTCTTCGGAGCTAGGGCGTCACTCGGAGACGACTCTTCATCACGGCGTTTCACCTTTGGCCGACGCAAATGTTTAGTAGATCCACCTGCATGATAACAAATGAACAAAAATAATTAGACCACAACATATTATTTGAGCCTACAGATTCATTGTAGCAAGGGAATGTTTTCCTTTCCTCATGAAGCATCTCCTAATGGTTTGTTTCAAGGCCAATTCGCACCACTGCATTATGCATCCCTACTGTGCATCATTTTACACGAAAAATGCACGCCCATATACGCGAACAGAAGATTCCTTGTTCTTTTTTTTTTCCGCACAGTAAGAAAAATTTTCATCGCCATGTAAACGGATTTTAGTTTGCAATCGAGCAAAAGGCTCTTAAAAAGACTCTTTTCCATACAATGAGCAGCTTGGGAAAAGCCACTCTAAATAAATAAGCTTGTACATAGCCTTGACGACTCTCCTTTTCCGTTTAAAAGTTTAAAGGTTTTTCTGTCGTTTACGGCCATTTCGCGTGATTGCATTACGCATCCCTACATATTATATATATATATATATATACACACACATTAAACCCCTGAAGAGTGAAGCGATTCACGAAACAGGCTTGTCGGGAAATGTAGTTGCGTCCTTTTTTCCTCTCATAATATTTACATATATATATATATACCCACACACACACACACACACATATATATATAGCGTTTTACACATGATAAGGAGGCTCACATACACAAACTGAATTTTTTTTTTCTAGTTTGGTGACCTATCGAACAAAATACTTGGAAAAAACTACCCTTTTTCTGTAAAATAAACAGCCAGTGTAGAAAGACAGAGTCCGGCATTAAAAAAGGAAGTTTGCGACGGTATTTCCTGTATCTTTGCATTTTAGTAGGTGGGCAAATTTCTTTCCAGCAAAAGCTATTCGTCAAAAAATGTATTGCTGATGAAAACAACTCACCAGTTTGTTTCCTAAGTTCAATAGATTCCGAAGCCTAAAACGCAGGAGGAAATAGTGGCAACCTTACGCTTACAGTCGGCAGTTGAGTAGTGAGTGAATTTTGCGCTACCATAAAACTACGTGAAAATATACAAACGCATCAAATGATCTTCCTTCGCTTTGATTTGGCTACCGACAAATGAAGAGACACTTTTCCAGTTTCGAAAGCAAGCAAATAGCTTGATAAATGTTCTCTTCCCTACACCAAAGGGAACATTACTCTTTGGACCTTCCATTAGCATGCATGGAGACTACACTTCTTCCAAACTCGAATTTGCCCCAACGAAATATAAAGTATTGTCCAGTTTCATTCAATAATTTTGTAACAATAACGTTCATCATTTCTTCAACATTTCCTTTGATGACAGCGCACAGCCACTCTATGAAGGGATTATGTGCTACACAGACAACTCAAGACACTTTAACCAACAAGGTTTCATGTATAAAACAACAAATTTGCTCCAACATAAATCGCAAGTTCGTAAGGGTTTGCATCCATTTCTAACAGGAGTTTATCATAGGATTACTCTTACTACTATTAAGAAATGTGAATCAAATGTTCAGTTAGCAATGATAAATTGGTTTTATTAACTGGGTTGATAATGTAAATTGGCCTTCGTGAAGAATTTCTAAAGCTGGTGTTTCAATTGTTAGCACTTCGTCGGACCGATTAGGGGAATGTGGGTTGTGTGTGGTTCATAAAATGGGAGTTGGGCTGGAGGGGGAAGAAGAGGGGTAGGGCAGGAGTTTCTAAGTGTATTATTAGGGGGTCGGTGGTCTTCTTCCCAGAGCGAAAATGCTATCAAAAGCTTGAAAGCATCCCATAAATAAGCAGAGGCTGTGAAATTGCTGACAAACAGGTAACATTAATTTTGTGATGCAAGAGCTGTTCTGATTGGTCACGCATGATTATAGGTCATTAATCATGTTTTTAATTCAGTTTTGGTAATTCGGTTGCAACTCATTTATAAAAAATTAAAACTAAACAGCATACAAGACTAGCTAGTGACTGCAAAGACCAAAGTTGATCTGTTTACCTTTGTAATGTGGCCAATCTTCAAAAATACTGCACTGGTTTAGAATGTTGACAACAAGAGAAGCTGCTGTTACACTTGCAAATGTTTGCCAGTTTTCTTTTGTTTCAGTTCCATCTGCATATCCTGAAATACCCTTGACGGCAACCCACTCCATTTTCAGATCGTGTGCTGCACTGAAAATTTCTGAAACAAAAATAACAAGCTTTTATGAATAAAACAACAAATTTGCTCCAACATCTATTGATTTTAACCTCTCCCATTGTTATCATTGTTATCATAGATTTGTAAGGAACTAGAGATATATTTTGGAAAGTCACCTTACATATACTATAAGTGCAGAGCTAATCCCTGTAGCACAAGCTTCTCCCAGGTCCCATACCATTCAGCCACTAAGACTGTACCCTTACTCCCTCCACATGCATATGAAATACTGGTCAGTTCATCAGTAGCCATCTATACTCCTGGGTGTGGAGATGCACTGTGAGAGTAGAGCCTCCCAGCCAAGACTACAACACAATCATTTTAGCCCAGGGCTTGAAACAAGACCTCTTGATCTGAAGTTGAGTATGTTCACACACAAGCCAGTGCATCTCTTGACACTGGTAGAAAAGCTTACCCACCACATAAGTATCAACTCTCTCTGTTTCAGGATACAAATATATGCAAATATCTCTTTGAGCAGATTTTACACTAATAGTTACTTCAAAGGAAAAATAGACCTTACCCTCTCCTTCTGTTTCAATTGCAATTGCTTCGGGAAATGACTTCACTAGTTCGTCTCTTCGCCACTCAGCTTGTAAGGGCTCAGAACCACTCAAAACCTCACCACAGTGGAGTTCAACTTTCCTTTTTTTAGGATTTTGTAAAGGTGGATTCCAACCATCACCAGCACATTTAATGAGTTCAGCTGTGTTTCTGCTTACAGGAGTTGTGAACCCAGAAAATTTCTTTCCATCCTTTCTAACCTTCTGACAGGAATAGGTTGTGAGCTTTTCTGATACAACCACATCCCCCAGCTTTGTTGATTCCTGATTCATACCACTACAGTGGCCCACAGAAAAGACAGCTTTTGGCCTCAGATGACTAACAGCATTTTTTACAACAGTCAAAGCACCTCCAGGAACTTTAGAACCCTCTGAGCATTTCATCAAAGCAACTGTCAGTTTAACATCCTGGTCTCCACCAATGCTCCCAAAGTATACATGACCAATCCCTTTAAAATAGCTTCTGAATGGACCAGCAATGTAATAGTAGCAGCTTAAGAACTCACAGTCCTTCACTGTTAACAACAGAATGTCAATTGGGAGTTGAACATCCTTCCAGCGTTTAGAATTCTGGGTTAGTTCATTTATCTCTGGAAGACTAATATTAATCTTTGGTGGGTCACCATAAATGTTCTTTGAACTGCTCTGGTCAGTTTTTGCAGTTTCTGACATTGCCAATCAGCTCCTGAAAATAAAAACAATACAGAAACACATAAAAACTAAAATTCAGCAACTTATTACTATGCAATTTAATTTCCCAGAATGAAGCCTGGACACAATAACTAGCCTCCAGTCCTGTCCATTTAAGCAATGTTTAATTGATGCAACTGTAGAAGTTAATGTTAGTTTATTATGGGACAGAATTATATTAAACTTAGATAATCTGCTTTACTGCAGAAATCTACCAAGAATCATTAGTCTTAATAACTGAAAAATACAAAATCAATCTCAGTGGATGTCAAAGCCCAAATATAATACAAATAAAGATTTGTGTTTTTTGACCTCCTACCCAATAGATGTAAAATCCCTCAAAGATATGAATGATCACATCTGATGGCAAACATCAAAGAAAACTGGACACATCTCCAGTTTGTACAACTAAGCTTATACAGTACTCAGATCAAAAAACACAATAAAGAAAATCAACCCAAGGTTTTGTCTCAAGCCCAATGTACAGAGGTTCTTTCTTAAAGGCAGCCAGTTATTATTTAATTCACACTTCTTAAAACATATTCTTATGAAAGCACTAGGTGATAATTTTTAATGTGTTTGGATGATTAATTCAAATTCAAATAAAAGTCAGAAAATGAATCAAAGGGTTGAGTCACTAGATAAGGCAATTGATGTAATCAGAGCTGTAGAAATATACACCACTGAGCTGAAGAACATAGACTTAAAGGAGCTGAACCATTTTATGTGCAACCATGAGTAGGTACTAATGGATTGCTGAAGGAGTGATGCACAACTGGAGGAGAAGGAGTTGAGTGGCTGCTAAAAAACCTTTTGATTTTCTCAAACAATCCATCACTTGACCTAGAAATGTCCTCATGCCATCTATTGCCCTCTAACAACTTGCAACGTTTGCCCCTTGGAAATCCCAGAAATCTTTGCACAAACACCAGTATCTGCATGATTACTGGCAACTCATTCACTGGCCAACTCAAAATGAGTGGAACAAAATCCTAGTTTTGTTTTGATTCTGTGAATTGTCTGTAATGTACCTTTATTCCTGAATGTTCTTACCTTACTATGCTATGTCATGCTAATACTTGTTTATATATGAAATAGAATATGATGTTGTCATAAAGAATGTTGAGAATGTTAACCATCATACTGGTGTACAATGTATCCCTTCACAAGTACATGTACTACGTAATGGAGCTTAAATCAAGTAATTGTGGTTATCAGTTGATAAGCTGTATGGCAGACTGGAAGCTGTGTTGCAGGCTGAAGGTCTATCTATCATTATTATTATTATTATTATTATTATTATTATTATCTTTATTTTTCTATACATAAATTTATATCTATGTCAATTAGACATACAAGATAAACACTCACTTTTCAAGTTGCTTCTCCTGTGAGATGGTAGCAGTAGTTGAATTAAACTCTCGATCAGGTACTTGCTGTTGCTTTATTGAATCAAAAATACCATCCACCAGATAAACCACTGACCCAGTAGATTGTGTGGCTGATTGTGTTCACAGCAATCTACTGGGTGGTGATTAATCTGGTGGACAGCAAAAAATTCAACCAGCTGTTGGAAAAATAACTGTTCTGTGCCAAAATCACTGTAAGTTGTGGCTCTTCAGTCAGTCAAGTATCAGAACACCTGCAGCTGTTGGAATGGAACTTAACCCCAATTAAGAATATTCTGGAACTCAGCTGCAGGGAAGTAAAACACACATGGATCAATGATAAACTGAATTATACACACACTTTGATGGGTTCCTACTTCAAAATGTGGTAAGCACATCCATGGCACACTCGACTGCGCCTTATGTCATGTTTTTGTTCTTCACACATTTTGATGTCAACAATGATCTATTACTGGACAGATGTACAACAAGACAAAATCTATTTATCACATGGAATAACAATGCAATCATTTTACAACTGAATATGTATACATCATGAACAACTAAATGTAAGTTGTTCAGACAGTAAGTTTTAAAATAATGTAACATTTCTTTTTGCTACTGAACACATGGATGTGCTACTAAAACAGGCTCTCATCTCTTAGTCTGTCATAAAAAACTAGATGATGATGACATGAAAAACATGATGAAAATGGTAAGGAAGATGATTTGCATCAGCTGTTTATAAAGTTAATAATTTCCTTCTTTCTTGGATATTTATGTCTATACAGGGTTCTCTCTTACAATGAGGTGATTCTCAGAAAGGTGTTTTCTACAAAAGTTAAAACAAATACATATACTTTTAAAATGCATACAAATACAAAATGTCATAAACAAAATTCAAAAGGAAAACATGTATAAATATAATTCATGGAGACAAGGTGCAAAATTGCCACCTGAGCTGGCTGCCAATGCTACTGAAAATTGACTGTTTGCAACTAGAATTTTAATGTTAATAATGCTGGCAGGTATTGATTAACATGTAAGGTTTTCTCAGTATTCTTCATGCAAACCAACACTCAGGAATGCAGAAATGAATCCATAATTTATTACATCAACTTCTAACACTTGTTTTCAGCAAAGTGTCAAGGTCTTTGAAACTATTTTGTATTGCAATTGAAGAGAACATTTTTTTTGGAATCATTGCTTCAAATGGTGACTGAATTCAATTGTTTAATTAACACTTGGCACCCAAGTAAAGAAGTTACCCTGAGTTAGCAATGAAATAAAAACAGAAGAAAGAGAGCATTTCAAAGTAGCTTAGATTAATTAGTAACAAGAGGTTTTTAGGCCTTAGAAATTATACTGTTCTTTACTATACTCTGACAAACTTTCAAGTCCATAAGTAAAATCAAAATCATAAAAGCAGTAGATTAAAATAAAATAAACAGCATACAGAGGTAAGTCAGACACTGATAGGATCGAGTGAAGAAGTTACAAATTATGCTCACTTGCATTTGATGTAGAATGAACAAGAAATTTTTTTCAAAAATGAGCAAAGCAAAGCAGTTTGAGATGAAGCGATAGAGAGTTAATTAGAACTACAGGTAGAATTATCTCACCATTATAGGAGTCAAACTTAGTATATACTTTACAGTGTCATAGCAGTGATATTTGAGAAGTTAGTACGGCAGCAAAAAGTAACAATTAAGTTATAGAACTATTGTTAAAATGGCAAATTCAACGCATCAAAATTAACTTTGAGATAAAAATGATTCAATTAAAGTCAATACTAAAGCGAGTGACAGCTAAGAATTCATTAACTGTTGGGAAAGGAAGCTGTGTAAAGTCATGATCATGAATACTTGTCGCATTAACTTAAACACCTCTAAGGAATTCACATCAGCAAATGAACGATTGAACCATGTTTAAGTAACGATTCATATCGGATGTCTTGGCTTTAACATTTCGGTTTACTTATATAAAGACAATTTATCCTGGCCGAGATTCTTTAAATTGTGGTAAACTTAGCTTTAATTTGTAAACTAATGTCGATTTAATGGTACCCGTTACGCTTAAATTAATATTCTCTATTCAAGCAGTTACCGGCTGTGTCCTCATGTACCGGTACACAAAGGAACGAAACATTAACGAACTGCGTCACAACTCCATGTATGGATGTGAAAACAATAGGAATTCCCCCGTGTACCGGTACACCAGGACAGCCCCCAGTTACCGATGAATTCGAAGTTCATCGATTTTAAAGGAACAGTCTCAATTTAAATGAAACAAACGAACAACCAAAAAACAATGAGATACTGGAAAAACAAAGAATTCATACGCACAGCTCCCTACAAATAGACAGGAACATGATGACATAGGTAACTTTCACTTTCATGATGAAGCATTGAACGCTGCTAATCTTACATGCACATAAAACAACTATTGTAAATGTCAATCTACAAAACTCACTTAAGTAGCTCTAAACTGTGTAATATTACATTTTCTCAAGCTTACTTGAGTTAGAAATCGTACATATCCTCTAAAAACCATCTAATAAATGCATTCTCGCTTAAGTTGGCAGACCACAACCTTACCTCTCTTTCCTCTTTACTCGACGATTGCACATGCTCGTATTTTATGAAACTGAGCCACAGCTGTTGTGCTACTTCAACTTGGTTAAATGAAATTTACATAGCAAACTATTTTACAAGTTCAGAGCCGAGCTGAAAGGAGGAAAAACACAAGGATTCTACAGCTGAAATGTTAACTCCACTCCATCAGCCAGTTGATTTCACGAGGGAACTCTGCATTCCACGACCACTCAAGCTTGCCAGTCACGTGATAAGCCGCAAGCCGGAAGTGCTAAACGTTTTAAAAATATGTTTCCTTGTTATTGATCACTCCTTGCCGTAGTAGTAGTTTGGCTCGACATATTACAGATGACCTTTATGCCACAAAAAGAAAGAGAAACGAACAATGAAATACTGAAGTAAAACCACTCCGTGACTCCTTAAGGACATGTTGAATGTTGCGTGACAAGTGATGGTACTCAGTCACCGAACTTGTGTCTAGATTGACTCAACTTCACTGACATATTTTATAACCACTCAAGATAGGAAACGAGTGTAGTTCTGTGAAATTATTTCCGTTTTGGTATTCATCAAGATCTGCCCATTGTACCAGAGATGAGGTTCACCTCCACCAGCTGTTGTAGTATCTCTCAGATCAGTTAGTCTACAAAACAATCACAAACGTCTGGACCATCCTATTGAATGAAACGTACCAGATGGGGCTACCCCAAAGTAAGAGAGCGAAAATTATTCGAGCAACACGAGTATAGAGGCCCCATTAGGAGGGGTCTGAGTATTCCGTATCCCATTACTTTTTGGCCAAAATATTCCGTATCCCGCTAATTCTTGTGGTTCGTATCCCCACAATGCTAATTACCATGATGACGTCATTGAGCGTGATATGTTTAGGTACCTGATAGAGAAAAATGCATTTTCCTGGGGCGCTTCGTATTTCAAATAGAAATTACGTGCAAATAAGACATCATGTTTATCGATGGTATGCTCATATATGTAACATTCTGTAAAGAATTGCTAAAGGGCTGAGGTGACTTCAAAGTAATAGGTAACCGGGAAAGTGGCGCAAAATGGAAAAAGCCGTGGGGGGTAGGGAATCTTTTTTTTAAATATCTCGTATGTATTTAATTTTCTACCCAGATGTCCCGTATCCCTATATTTTTTACCCAAATTTCCTGTATCCCGATAACCCCTAATAGGGCCAGTATAATTACAAACCGAATCGGACGTCGCGAAGTCTTATTGCCAATTAATCATAAAAATGACAATTTCCAAACAAAATCTTCTAAAATATTGTCATAGTTTATGAGGAAAACTCTTCATTTTGAAGAAAGTCCCAATTTAGGAGCCTGTACACTATTTTTATGGTAATTGAAACCAAGGTTGTGACTGGTTGATTTAAACTACAACTTTGAATGTGATTAGCTTATTGAACTGTCCGATAACAACTTGGCAAGTGAATAAGTGAAAAACAGGAGTTTTTTAAACCAATCACAATCGAGGAAATTGTGATTTTTATGATTACGGTGGATAAAAAAATTAAAAAAAAAAGGGAAAGGGAAGAGGAAGAAGAAGCCTTACAAGAACAGTTCCTGGCATTTCAATGATTCAACAAAGGAATCATGAAATGGTTCAAAATCTTTCTGATCGAGCCGCCCTGCAACGGACAGAAAGAGAGGCTCTTTGTCAACAGATGAAGGATCCAGTTGATCCAGACAAGGAAGATTTAATAAAAGCGTTGAATTAAAAACAAGATGAAGAAATGAAAGCTCTGTGGGATGAATTGAATGCAAAGTCAAATGAGATGGCTAAGCAAGTTTCACGGGATGAAATGAGGAGTGGCGAAACGGCTGAGTTGATTGACTAATTAAACAAACCAGAGAAGCGGAAGAGCGGTAAAGAGACGTAGCAGATACTCGAGAGAGAAAACAAGAAGTAGAAAAGCCAGGCTTTTGGAAGAAATCACTTGAAGGTGTAAGGAAAATTGTCCCTTTTACACCGATTGTTTTCAAAATATGGAATTTCTTGTGGTCAATCACAATGAAGAAATGTTTGTTGCAATTTGGAAGAAATATCCTTTCATGATTTTTTTCAAAGACCGCAAATTCCACTTGTCACATGTCCTACCGGCTCCTGCAACTTATTTCTACAAATAGCACTCGAAATCATGTGATTGCGTGTATAAATGGATTGCAAACTTTATTTTGTTTCCTGGACATTAGCTTGTCATGTTACATTTATTTATTGTGCTTTCAGAAAAGAGCTGGAAACATGGCTCCAAGAAAAAAATCAAAGCATTTCCATCCCTCTTTGTTTACCCAACAACTGCCAGTGGAACGCAGCAACTCGAGAATAAATCAAAACCGGAGGACAACGTACGTCATTGTATGTGGTGGCGGAAGCGCTGAAGAAGCTTAAGACTGTGAAAGGTATGTTTTCTGTCCATATCTTCATGTCATCAGTTTTTACATAACAAGTTTTATTTTTTATATATGTTCAAGCTCTTACTGGGCGCAATGAGAACTGCACACATGTAACCATGAAATAGCTAAGAGAAGCGTCATGGCTAAGGAATGGGGAGGGTGGGGAGACTGATTATCTTCACTGTTCACTAACATGTCTTCGCACGCCTACAAAACTGCTTAAGCGGGGTGGGGGGCGTATTGCTCCTTTTTACTCTATCGACGAAAAACATTCCCACCTATCGAATGTCCTCCGTGAGTGTAAAATTCTGTATCAACACACGTTCAAGGTAAGCATTCGGAAGAATGTACAATGGCACAATAATGAAAAAAAAAAAAAAAAAAAAAAAGAAAAGAAAAGAAAGAATATTATTATTAGATATATGAAAATTAACATATTTGCACTGCGGTGGAGAGATGAAATTAAGAGATCCTCGCAGCTAAGAACAGTTCTTAGCTGCGAGGATCTCTTAATTTCATCTCTCCACCACAGTGCAAATATGTGAATTTTCATATATCTAAAATCTTTATTCACTTGGATGTTTATTTGTACCCAATTCATTGACCAGCTCCCAGTTGGCTTGTTAGCTCAATTGGTAGAGCGCTGCACCGGTATCGCAGAGGTCATGAGTTCAAATCCCGTACGGGCCTGAATTTTTTTCAGGTCCTATTTACAACTACTCGTTTCAGTAGTGTTCTTAGCTGCGAGGATCTCTTAATTTCATCAATATTATTATTAATGGTATAAAAATGGGCAGATTGATATCTGCTTGTGTTCGATTCGGTTTTATAGTTCACATAGTTATCAATTTAGGGACTTACTTTTTGTGGGCACCTTCATATGCTTGTTAACGTACGTTGATCTCGAGCTTTCCAGTTTATCTTGATGCAGTTTTCCCTTTAGTTTCAACAATAATCAAGGAGGGTCATGGGTTTTTCTTTTTCAATCCGCGATTCAAAAATTTCGTTTTACATACTTAAGCAATCATAAACGCGAGTTAGACGCATCACAGATTAGTCACATTACTTTTCCCGCAATTCGTTATGATGTCCATTTTGGTTTCTGACTGTCAGTCGAAGCGCCTTTCAAAAACTGCTTTTTCGGCTTTAGAACTGCTCTTCTGGGCTGGACTTTAAGAGATTCACTTACGACAATAGCATATCTTGCTTTAGTCGCACGTGCATGAATGTATGGGTGTGTCTCTTTTTCTGGCCTTCTTATGGCTATTTGCGCGGTTTTTTATTCTCTGTTTCTTCCTTTATGTATTCTACGAAGGGAACTAATAACCATCCAAATCACTGTGAATCGACTCGAAAACCACACCGATAAAAAGACGACTGAATCGAGGATGGCTACATGCCTTTTTCACTTACCTTCAGACATTTCTCCATGTAAATCTTATATTTCTATTGGCTCCTAGTATCATAACGAAGTGGAAGTCGTGTATCAAATTCGGTCTACCTGTGATCACAGCTGATAAATTCCTTAATTTGTATGCCGATAAAATAAGTTGGTATGACTGTTTGAAACATAATTTGAAGGAATGATTTACAACTACGAGAGTTATATCAAAACTGATAAAAACATAATTCATTACACTTCCTATATGTAAATCCCGTGTATGTTGTATCGATTACTGGTCCATACGGAAACGGGAAGTCGTATATTTTGAGCGAAGCTTTCGATCAACCTGAGGTGTTCCCTCTCGGGCATCATTTTGATCCGAAAACCGTTGAAATCTGAATATGGAAAATGCCACAAAAAATGTGGGTAAGTTCACGTTGATCTGGTAACTAAAATGCTTTATCCCTATCTTGCAGTTGCGTCACTGGCAAAACAATGAAAGAGCTTGAAAGAAAACTTCAATTCCTCGATGTTCTCCGGATAGCTGCAACTGTATCTTGGCAGAGAATGTACCGTGGTCTTATTAGACTCAGAGGGAATTGATGCAGTGATGGGAGAAGGTTTGAATGACAGTCAGATATTTACTTTCATTGTTTTGCTGGCTTCTGTTTTGATCGACAACTCAATGGGGGTTCCCACCAGATATGACCTCAATGGACTGGAGTATCCTTCACCAAGTACATCAGATTCTAGGGATGGAGAAATAAGCGGAGGGGAGAGAAAGTCCATAAATGAGGCATATTTCTACGTCTACTTAAAGGCTTGTATAAGTGAAATACAGGCTCGGTATTTCAACGGTTTTAACGCGTATTCTAAGAGAAAATTTCATATGGATGTAAATTTTACCTTAAAAAGGTTCCTGAAAAGCACTTGGAAAACATGTGTAAATGGCTTCGGCTACGCAAAGTGTTCTTACATGTTTTTTAACTAGTTCTTGATGCTTATTCGTGAAAACAGATGCATGCACTGTAACTTTGACACGAACGATCCGTTTTTTGATCACAAACCTTCCATTGAGAGTTGATGGAGGAGTAGGGCTTATTTCTCACACAGAGAATGGTAGTCGACCTCACACTGGAAAAACTCTCTTTAAAACAAATTCTCGTCTATCCTCTTCAGTAAGCAAGAGTAAAACTTTAACCCTTTGACAAAAGGATTTTGTGCCCAAAAAGAGTACCAAGCTGAACAAAGAAGAGACAGAAAAGCTATCGTTCGCGATAGATGAAACGAAAACATTTCCTAACATTTCGCAGTTTTATTATGAAGTTGTCCCAACGAATAAGACTTTGCTCCAATGACGGCAGTGTGGGCGCGAACGGCCCTCAAGAGGACACAGAATTCTTCCACAACCCCTTCTCCCTTCTTCATCTGGCTTCTCAGGGATGTTACTCAGTCCATTCCAACAGACTGCAGAGACATTAAGGAGTATTTCCTAACAAGGGTAAGGCAACTCATTTTGAAATGTTGGACAGAAATGACAAAAGAATTAATCAAACGCTTCCCTGAATTATCGTCTTCAAACTGAAAACATTGCAAACCTCTTTGTCACAGCCGCAGAAATATTGATTATATCATTGTTTTCTCGGAATAGACTCTTAGAGTTTGTTATATGAACAAAATACCCGAATGTTCGAGAACATGGTTTTGTTTCTTGGTTGTTAGGTTTATTGTTTAACCTTTTGGAGATGTACTGGTTTTGGAAATGGAAGGAACTTGTTTTTTATTTTATAACTATGCATATATCTCTCTGCAAGACGTCTAAATTCAGACGTTCTCTTAACTCTACCAAAAACAAAGACAAAAGCTTTCTTTATTTTTTGCATACAGTAATTGGATAAGTCTGCTCTGTTAATTTGTATATTGAATTTGCTTAAAACGCAGTCGTGTTCTATAAACAAAGAGGGACTGATTGACTGGTTTACCTTGATTACAGTGATCACTGATCGCATCGTAATGTGCCCCTTATCCTCGGCGATGGGGATCTAAATCTTGTATTGGCTTTTTATGTAAACGTCTATATGAAAGGGATGACAGAGGATCTTAGATCTGTCACAATAAAGCTCACCTGATGACCCCTAAAAGACTCTGTAATGGTCTTAGTCAATTAGCAATTAATTGGCAGTCAATTTTCCATAGTACCCCCTTCATACTCTGTTGGCAACGACTGATCCCCACTCCGTTCCCCACTGAAAACCATCTTCCTTCCAGAATCCTTCCCTTCCACCCTAGAAGAAAACGACTGGTTCCTTATTACAACTGCTTTTTAAACCAACTAGGTTTTCTAAGGACCAAGGAATGGGACAGGCAGACCACACCCAACAAGTCGCTGAAAGCATTTTGCGTTTCTTCCCTGGCTTCGAAGCCTTCAAACTGCCACCACCATCTGTAAGTGAAGAGGTTATGAAAAACATCAACAGAAACAAAAGTCAGATCAACAGTGAGTTCTTCTCTGGGATAGAAAAGTTCAAGGTCTTGTTGAAAAGAACTCTTACTCCTAAGCACAGCTTCTACGACGGAGAACTTGTGACTGGTGAAGGTAAAGGCTACTATTGCATCTTCGTTTGGCTTTCATCTCCCGTGAGAGCAACTCGTAACTTCTCTCAGATTTCTATGTATTTTTCAGACGAAAATTAATGGTTTTGAAGACAAATTTCGAAGTATTAGCTTAATCTCTAGAATCTTAAGTCGCCGCCTACTTCTTGAATTATGGGAGTCACAATCTTATGCCATGTTTTTCAATTTTAGATTATTTTTTACACCGTTTGTCTACTGTATACTTTTCTTATTAAGTATATCCTTAAACTTAAAGACAATTTCATCCCTCAATGACCCACTCTGTTTCCAGGTTTGGCCGCCTTGGTTGAGCTTTACGTGCAGGCCATCAACACTCCTGGAGCGATTCCTAATGTCCAGTCAGCTTGGGACACATTTGTAACAGATAAATGTTCTGAAGCAACGCACGAAGCCATGAATGTCTACAGCGCTGTCGTGGTTTCAAAACTGTCCAATCAGCTGCCTTGTGACTCCGAAGAAATTCGTAAATGTCATGAAACGGCATTTGACCAAGCAATTGATGAGTTTCAAGCTGAAACAATCGGAATATCCTCCATTACAACCGAGAGGTACCTGAACGAACTGGCGGTAAGGGGTTTTTACACATTGCTTAAACATTCCTCATTCAGTACTTTGGGATAAATTGATGCCGACGAACTTTTGCAAACTTCGTCCATTGTTTTCCCAACATTTTTGTGGGGATGAATAAAATTTTCGATATGTGACAGAATTCTAACAGGACAAAATCTTTATGATTTAACTTAAGGTTTCGGATCTTGGTGAAATATCTAAAAGCAGCAGAGTACCTGGTCCGAAATCGAGTGCGGTGAAAAGAATAGGTTGTGCAGAAGCATTTCCTAAGCAATGAAATATCCTTAGTTCTTTTTCGACGAGGCTCAAAACTTTCCTCAAGCTTTGCCAACGCTTGTCGTTACACATTTTCTGATGACTGTTTTTTGTGCACGTTTCCGCGCCAGGTGGAGGCTACTGCTTGTTCATTTCATAGTAGCATCGACCTAACTCCAATTAATAAGTGATAAATATTTAGTAACTGTCTGGATATACAACCATGAATACCACGAAATAATAGTTACAGTGCTTCCCAGCATTCATTGTTGGACTTACTGGGGAGAAATGTTCTTAAATTTCAATTTCTTTTTGTACAAGTTACTTACAGAAACAACCAATAAATGTCCAGTTGCTGTTTGGGAACTAACAACAGCACGGAAAGATGAACACTGGTATTCACTGTGAATATAAAAGGTCTATTTCTTTTTTTTATTATTTCTCAGTCGTTTGCAGACCGAGAGTATGCCACGTGGCAGACTGAGAATGATCGGTTTACGCGAGAGGCTTGTGACGCTCTCCTGAAGCAACTTAAAAAACAACACTTGGACCCAATCCTCGACCAACTCCACGGAAAGGAAGGCGCCAAAGTCATGTTCGATGACATTGTAGCAGGTTACAAAAAGATTGAGCAGGACTACAAAGCTCGTGCCACCGGAGCTAAACGAGTTTGTGCTGCTGTGTTTTTCGAGTTTCATCCGGTAAATAGAGTTTTACTTGGAATTAAAAATTCAGACCAAAAATGAGACAAATTAATGAGTTAAAAGGTTTCTAATCTGTGTCTTTCTTTTTTTTCCATGACATTAACAGTTTCACAGACAAAAAAAATACAACCGAATTCAGTTCCTTTAATACAAGTACATTGCGATTCTTGGTCTTAGAAACTATTATGTAGTTACAAGATGATATAACTTTATAATCTCTTGGTAGTTACCACAAATAAAACCAACAGACAAAGCAACGATGTAAGCGAAAGTTCTACTTTTATCACAGGAACTTATGAGAGAAATGCAACAATACTTGGGCGTACTGAAACAATTAAAGGACTTTGACGAGAACTTGAGTCGAGAAATTGCCGCCAAAGCCTATCAAGAGCAAGAGAAGATAAAACTTGAGGTACTCATGATGCAATTTTAATCGATTCGTTTATCATATTACTTTTTAACGGAAAAAAAAATTGAGAATGATAAATGCCGGGAACGGAGAAAGGGAAATGAAGAATAGGGAAAAGGGAAATGGGAAAAGGGAAGGAGAAAGGAAAATTGGGATTGGAAAATGGAATGGGAATTTTTTTGTTTTCATTCTGCGGCTAACTAAAAGGAACGAAAAATAACATCCTTTCCTCAACAAACTTAATCAACTGATTATTAAGAGAACAAAAGCTGATTGAAGTTCATGCTTTCTTTTTCTGTTCTTTGTCAAAAACATTGCTGGATTAATTTAGTTTCAATGGCGAGGATATAGAATTTCATCATCTGCTAGACAAAGCCTATACTGATGTGACTTTTCGTTCTCATTTAAGGAGGAATACGAACGTTTACAACAAGAAAATCGTCAGCGCCATAAGGAAGTAAGACATTTTGAGTCAAAGTCAGTATCTGAGAAACTGCGCACCTATCCCTCCCCTAACTCAACAACAATCAAATGATAACAAGTTAGGGTTAACGTTGGGTCAGGGGAGGGGTAGGTGTGCAGTTTCTCAGATACTGACTTTGATCCGACATTTTCACAACCACTAAAGAATTCACTCCACGCTTCAAAAGATATTTTCCATCGTCAAATCTATCTTTTGACGATTTCCACTTGTATAAAGGAACAAAGCGGACAATTGACTGCTTTTTGAGAGTTTTGCCTACTCAGACGGAAGCGCTAAACATGCACGTCTTTGATTCCAGAAAGCACAGACACACGAATTTTATGGCGATGAAATATAGTGAAATCCAATTAAAGACGTAGAAAAGTAAGCCTTTTTAAAAGGCGTGAGTACACTCATTCCTGGGAACTAGGTTTTTTGAGTAACATCCGATTTCGTACCATGGCGGGTGAAATAAAAACAAACAAAAGGCTGACATCTTGTCTAAACGAGTCCTGGTGCAGGGGCCGCCCTCTCTGCCTGCTTATTTTCTCTTGGTTCCATTCCAATGTAATTTTGTGATGTGTCAAATTAGATTCATTATTCTTTAATTTTTTTGTTATAAGAATATTGCCTCGTAATAACATTCACCTTCAAATTCCTTAAAATATATCTTTAGTTTGAATCACGCTAGCAAGAACATATCCCATTGGGTGTTTTCTGTGAAAGATTTTTCAGTATTTTTCCCAGAAATTCATTCTGAGTGACTGAGAAATTTGATGATTTTAGCCCAGGGGTGAAGAAGATTAGATGCCATAATATTTTTCATCATGACTCTCCTATAGCTGTCTTACCTGAACTTTTTCCTGTTTGGTAATTAGATGGAAATGCTGCAGGCAAAACAGGAGCAAGAAAAAAAGAGACTCCGTGAAAAGATGGAAGCTGAAGCAGCGGCCCAACGACGACAAATCGAGAACATGGTAAAGGCGAGAATGATGGAAGCTGAAAAACACAGACGAAATTTCATGCAAGAAAAGCAGGTACTCAGCCAACGACTTGCACAAATGCAAAAATCAAATGAAAGCATGGAGAAGACAGTGGAGAGCTTGAGACAACAGCTGCTACTCAATCAGAGCCGACAACGGCAAGTTAAAAAACCGGGATTCTTTGATAGAGCACTGCAAATGATACCAGTCATGGGTGAGGTCGCTAGCACCTTATCAAAGTGTAGCGTTATGTAAAGCCTCTAAAGTTATCCCTTATCATGAACACTGGTTCCATTTTAAGTAGTTGCATTGTATCAGCTTCCAGTTAATTGTAATTGCAACGAGTTAACCGCCTTAAGTTATGTAACACGTTTCCTGCCAATGGGAAACGATGTTGATTTTATATAGAAAGTGAAAATTGTTTGTTGTCCGTGATACCAATTGGGCTGCAAAACAATCTGAATGTGATCTAAAATAAAATAATTTGAAAAAAGAAACCAATCTGGTCTTCTAATTATTAATAGCTAGCGCAAACAAAATCCCCCTTTCCAGGAATTAAGCCCGAAACGTAACAAACCATCGTAGGTTCTGTGTACGAGAAATATCATAAATGTTTGGGATATCACGCTTGCTTTGATGCGCTCTTGCGGAAGAGAAATGGGGGAAGAAGGGGAAAGAGGACAAAAAAGGAGACTGCTTGCAATGATTTCTGTCTTTTTTTCCGCCTTTTGTGTTTTTCTCGTCGCCAGGTTTAACATTTGATAGAATTAAATCACGGAGGAGAGGATGCTTAGATGCTTACATGCCTTTTAATCCCTGCTGATTGAAAGAAACAATGTAATACAACTCATGGGAGGAAGGGTGGCTTGTGGAAATAAACAAGTGGTTATAGGGAAAAAAACAAACAAACAAATCATAAAAAACAATAGTAAAACGATCGGTCGGTGGGACACGAAAGGAGTTATTGTTATACAAGTCGGGCCGACAGATTCTGCGATAAATTATCGAGGAAAAAAATGCATATCAAAACCAAGAAAATGAACCAGTTTTTCCTCTCGTCCAGGGGCTGCCTATATCGAACTAAAGACTACATACTAGTCTCTTGAATTCAAACTCTGCACACAAATATCACTCTGTGCGCGGTGCGTTGAGCTGTAAAAGAACTATTTCAATGGCTGTGCTTTAGGATCCAGGCAACAAGAATAGAGGTCGTATCCAGGGTCTTTTTCAACCACTCATGCCATCTGTACTTTCTATAACTACAAAGAGACAAGGATATTTCACAAAAATCCTTTTAATAAATCAATAAAAGTGAGGCTAAAAAAAGTCACAAAGTTGGGTAAAAGTAAACCAACTAAATTGCTATTTACAATGACAAGTGAGACAAACAAGCATTTAAGCTTGTAACACCAATTATCGACTTAAAATTTTCTGATAATGAAAGATTTTCCATATATCTCCAATTTCAAGCATCATCAATGTAAAGCATCGAAAAATATGCCTACTTCAAAGTATAACGCTACCTGTGAACTGATTCAAGCTCAAGGAATCATTCATCTGTTCCTTTTCTCAACGTCGGCTTTTTTCGTAAAGAGAAAATAAACTTGTCAGCTAAGTAGAATTAATTGAACTAATTAGTTTGAAGTAATCGAGTTGATTAATTTGAATTAATTAATTTAAATAAATTGAGCTTGTCTTCTGCCAGGGTCTCAGTTGCTTGAAAAGATCGAATTATTGGGAGAGTGAAAATGGAGGTTTAGGAAGAAAGGAAGCTCCTCTCACTCCTTCCCAGACCTCCAATGTCTCACTTCGCACCCTTGACTGTCTCCAAAAAAAGGAGTCTTTCTTTCTTCGCGTCAAAAAGTCATGTTTGGGATCTATCCTAAACTATTTAACTCTGATATCCTGAGAAATTCGTTTCGCGTACTGATCGGCAAAAACACTACCGGGGGTAAGTAAGAACTCGGTATTTTATTGCTGAAAAGAACTTGCATTTCCGGTTACAGTATGAGACGTTTCACGCGGGACTAGAAATTTGTGAACCTCAGCAAACAACGATGACAACGGCAACTTCAGCAAACCACAACAACAAACTAAAGATCTAAATAATGAGCAGAACAATAGCTCAGCGCATACGTTTTAAAACTCTGTTCATTTCTCAGCCGTCCCCTGCAAAACAATAACGTGAAATTATTTAAGTTTCCCATTTGAACTCAACGCTGCTGCCATACGCTATGCTGAAATAAAGGTGTAGCGCTGTAAGAGACAATAAACACGACGCTGCTGCCCTACGTTATGCTGAAATAAAGGTGTAGCGCTGTAATAGACGATAAACACGTCCAACAATTTCCGAAACTCTCAATAAACAATAGTCTCCATTTGGCGCAAATACATGCACGATGGTTTTTTTTTTTTGTTGTTGTTCGGACATTACCTGTTCCGAGATGCGAAAAGGTGAGAGCTTTGGGCAACAGATAATGTCTAAGGACAAATACACGACAATATTTTTGCGCCAAAGCTATTGTGTTTACCTTCCATCAAATATTTTTCCAACGCGTGGGGAAAGTGTCTACGAACAGTTCACCGTTTATTACATAGGATGTTCACTTTTCAGTGTTCGCTGGTACAACTATATGAACACTAAAACATATCCTTTCTTCTGTAACAACCACAAAATGCTCTCTAATCTTGAATTAAATTTGAAACGAAGACTTCTATCGCAGTGGACGCAAGGTTTGAAAATGGAAGAATATCACGTGGGGTATATTCACGGATATTCTCCAGTTTTATTTAGTGGATATTCCGTCAAGTAATGCATTTAGACCAATCCCGCGCGCGAGAGAAAAAATATTTGATGGATTATATTCTAAATTATCAATCTTACTGCTCGCTAAATCAGTTGCCATAGAAACCTTTTTTTCCGAGTGCTCACTCATCTTCAGCACCATCATCATTATCATCATCAAGATTATCACCATCTTCACCTTCGTCATCATCATCATCATCTCATCATCGAGATCGTCACCATCTTCACCTTCGTCATCATCCTCATCATCTGACTCTTTTCTGAACCTTATTCTCTCTTTTTTTTTCAGCTCAGCTTTTGTAAGAAAGTCGAATGATCATCCTTCCACCTTTCATTTCACTTTCCTATCACAAGACAAAAAAAGGACACAACATTAACCACAGCACCAATTATGTGAAACTCAGCTCTTTATTCTAATTTAATTGAATTAATTGGTTTAAATAAATTGAGTTACTGGAAAAAAAATTCGAATTATTGGGAGAGTGAAAATTGGGGTTTGGGAAGGAAAGGAAGCTTCTCTCGCTCTTCCCAAGACCTCCAATGTCTCAGCTCGCCCTTTCTGACCGTCTTCAAAAAATGAGAGCCTGGTACAGACAACTAAAGGAGTCTTTCTTTCTTCGCGTCAAAAAGTCACGTTTGGGATCTTTGCTAAACCATTTCGCTCTGATATCCTAAGAAATTCGTTTAGCGTTCTGATCGGCAAAAACACAGAGTAAGAACTCAGTATTTTATTGCTGAAAAGAGCATGCATCTCCGGTTAAGTATGAGACGTTTCACGCGAAACTAGAGTAAATATATTTGATGGAATATATTCTGAAATATCAATCTCCTTACTGCTCGCTAAATCAGTAGCCAAGGAACCTTTATCCGAGCGCCCACTCCTCATCACCATCTTCTTCATCATCTTCATCATCTTCATCATCGCGATCGTCACTACCTTTATCTTCATCGTCATCCTCGTCATCATCATCCTCACCATCTGGCTCTTCTCTGAACCTTATTCCACGTTTTTTCAACTCATCTTTTGTAAAAGGTTCATAGGTTAACCTATCCACATCAAACCACTATCAGAGGAAAAAAAGGCAACATCAACCACAGCACTAATTATGTGCAACTCTCAACTTGTATTTTCACACCAGATAAATATTAAAAGAACCTTGATTTTCCCCACGTATATCGGAATATTACGTTTCCTTCGCTATGGCAAAATATGTTTCATTAATTTCTATGTTACACTCAACTTACATTTTAACACACAAGATAAATATATGACGCATTCAAAGATATTTGTCTATATTGCGAGCAGTGAAAGAGAACATTCACTTTTGAAGTCAAATAGCTACGAGTGACTAAGACTTTATTTCACAACACGGAAAATGATCTCAGTTGCAAAGAACAAAGATCAATGGTCCCTAACGATTAACATGAGGTGACGGTTTACAAAAAAAAAAACACATGAATTTGATTAAATACCAAATTTTATTAAAGGGAGAAAAACTGTCCAAGATCTTCGAAATTATTTTATTTACCGCACACAAAGTATTATCAAAATTATTCTCGGCCGGAGAGTAAATCAATGTTTCAATGATTTTTCAACCTTGCACGACTACACCAAATGGGTTTTACTCCAGTTCACTTCTCCACCGACATAATTCTTACACGACTAAAAGTCAGACAACTCTATATACTTCTTTTTGATGATCCGGTGTTCTTGCTCTAATGTTTTTCTTGACTTTTCTAGAAGCAAAGAACTCTCCTCTCAATGGAATCGTACTTTTCTAACAATGCTGTTTGAATCATATGCGAGACAATTAAAAGATAAAAAAAAACAAATTAAATACAACTTAAACATTTACACTTGCGCTTAACTGAACTAACGCCTCCAAACCTATCCTCGTATTATTTCATGCTACAGTAGTTTCTAGTTTGCTTAGTTTTGAGATTAGAAGGAAGATGTACGATTTCCATATTCCTAGAAGCAAACGAACGCTCACACTCCACAGGAAAGGCAAGACAGCAACGAGTAAGGAAGGCAGGTCTTTTAATTCGGTGATGGTGATGGGAATAAGAATTGTTTATGTTCAGCGATGTCACAGAAACATGGGAAGCTGCGTAAAGTGTACACAGAATCATCTCCACGTTGTGTGCCAAATTGAAGTTTAAAAAAATATATTATTTTATAGGATTTACACTAACACGACGCCAAGCAGAGACAAACACGTACGATGGTTAGTTGAACAACTTAATTATCAACAATTTCGTTCTTCAAGTTTTCTTCAAAAAATGAACTTATGTGACACGGGAGACCGATGGCACTACAATCATCTGACAGAGTTGCAAAATATGAACAATGTAGCCAAAGAAGAAAAGATTCCAACTGATATATAAGAATAGGGAAACCATTTAAGAGCAAGTAAACTATAGCACAGTGCCGAGTTGGACTAGTGGCCGCGTGTCACGGGTCGCGCCTATGAAGTCTAAGCTTAAAATGATTTGTTTTGCTTTTTCGTTTGTCCGTTCGTGCTTCATTCTTTAAGCAATAATTTTACTGGTTGCATAACATAACGTCTTTTCTAGATCTTTCAGCTGAAAAATATGTTCATGGACACTACGCCTCCAAAAGACTTCTTCCCTCGACTAGTGAAATTAATCTGTGCAGGCGCTTTATCTTATTTAGGACGTGATAATTTTGCTCTAATTTTGCTCTAATTTTGGATACAGAATGGGAACAACGAGCCGAAGCTTAATTTTTTTCTCCTTTTTCATCTTTCTTCCTTTTTATGCAATACGAGTACACAGTCCCCCCCAAAAAAAAAAACATATATATATCCATCGAATTCCGTGCCCGCCTCTCTTCTTTTTTTTTCAATTGCTTCTCGCCATTATCTCTTTTTGCCCTATTACCAACCACGAAGTATTTTGCTCTCTATTCTATGTTGGGGAGGGTAACACACCTAAAAGGATTTAGAGTGTAAGGTTTGAAATAGTCATTTTAACAAGTTCGCTATTTACAATGTTTTTCTTTAATTTTTATTAAAAAGAAAAAAGATAGGCTTCTATGACAAAGGCGACCGAGGGCCCTACGAGCACCTGACGGAGTCACTCAACATGAGCAGTGCAGCTAAAGACAAAAGAATCCAACTGATAAATAAGAAGAATGAAACCATTTAAGTGCAAGTAAATTATAGCACCGTGTCAGTTTCTTTTTGGATGTTAATCATTTCACCGACAATTTTTGGTGAATTATTTCCTATTATCAGTACAAGCCTTTAAAACGCAAATATATGACAATAGAATCAACATTACTCTCGGTTTTTAAAAAACGCATTTGGATTTAACACAAGAAACAATCCTTTTTGTTTGGGTTTTTTTATTTTGTTGGGTTAACGCTTCCTGTTAATAAAAGCGAATAGATGCTGCTACAGATTGTAGGGAACAACGTCATCGAATCCAAAGCATTATGGGTTCACAGTAATTTCACGTCACATAATCAAACCCCCAAAAGAGCATCCCACAATAACAACACAAGCCAAAAAATTTCAAAAATTAACATTGCGCAGAGAAGTTTGGTCAGAGAAAAATTCTCACAATTCATTTTTTTCTCTCTCTCATGTAAGGAATAGTTACAGAAGATTTCTCTATTAAGATTTCGCCAAAACACAAAGGCCAATCGAATGAACTCGAATGATTCGAACTCCCAAAGTTTTCAATCACAGTGTAATCAAGCATCTACTGTACTGGAAACTACTATATGTAAATAAATAGTATCAAAGTTTTAAAATCTAAATTTTTTTCCTATCAATTTAATCTTAAACATATTTTTCTGGAAACCATAGTCAAACAAGCAACACATGAACCATAAAAGTACTTAACATGGGCTGTTTACGGTCTCCACCATCCTCAAAAATGACTCCTGATGTCACAAAATAGAAATAGTAAATGACGAAAACAGTGACTGTTCCTGATGTCTACATTCTTTCCCATGCAGACTACTCTGATAAATTGCATCCAAAGCAACTTGCTGGAAACAATAACAAGCGATATTCTGAAGAGCATCTAAATAAAAATTAGATACAACTGAGTGAAACAACAAAAAGACACTTACATGGTAATTGGTGGACACTGTAATGTCTCTTCTACTTACTACTGTACACAACTCTTGAAACTCTGTCTTTGTCATCTCAACGTCTTCCAGGTAAAGGGACAGGTCCTCTTTTACTTTAGAAACACTGCTGAGATACTGGACCAGGTCTCTGACTCCTCTGCCAAGTGGATTGCACCCTATTCTAAGATAGCTCAGCTCTGGTACATCCTTTAGTGCACGAACCAGTGCTGATGCTTCATCTTCACCCATATTTGTATTCCACAGGTTCAGCTCAGTCAGATTGGGTACACAGTTCAGGTTCTTGGCCAGTTCAATAATCCCGTGACCCAGTGCATTGTCTGCCATATTCAGTCTTTTTAACTTGTTTAAGTACTGTAATGAGGCAGCCAGTGCAGAACATTCCTTTTCTCTCATTTTTACATTCTGTAACTCAAAATGAGTCAAATTTGTCATCTGAACACCATCCAGGCACGAGGACAGGTTTTCCTTTGGCTTAGGAACACTGCTGAGATGATGGACCAGGTCCCTGACTCCTCTGCCAAGTGGATTGCACTCTAGAATAAGATGGCTCAGCTCTGGTACATCCTTTAGTGCACGAGCCAGTGCTGATGCTTCATCTTCACCCATATTTGTATTCCACAGGTTCAGCTCAGTCAGATTGGGTACACTGTTCAGGTTCTTAGCCAGTTCAATAATCCCGTGACCCAGTGCATTGTCTCCTATACTCAGTCTTTTTAACTTGTTTAAGTACTGTAATGAGGCAGCCAGTGCAGCGCATTCCTTTTCTCCAATTTGTACATTCTGCAACTCTAACACAGTCAACTGTGGCGCGTGATGAAGATTCTGTGCTAAATGACTCACACCGCTGTGTAAAGTAGCACACTTTGCTGTTAGATTGAAAAAGCGAAGTTTTAAACTGTGGAGATTGTCAGTAACATTAATGCTGTAAATCACGCTCTCGATCAATTTATCTTCCATGTCGTCAACTCTCCCCCATATAAAAATATTTCGAGGTGCTGTTAATAAAGGAAACAAGTTCTTCAACAGAACAAAATTCTCAACTGTTGGCGTAACTAACTCAACCTCTCTCACCAGTGACAAACAATGTTGTTGTATCTGGTCAGATCTGTTCTCAGTCAAAGACAGTGCAATGTTGTCGTCTTCATTATTTCGCAGATTATCCACAAGTGGCTCAGAAGGACAAACCGGCGCTGATATCAGTTCATGAAGTAGTTTAGAATCAAGAACAGCATCTGTTATGCGACTTAGATAAATAAAGTTTCTCATTTCGCTTTTTTTTAGGAAAAAGTCAGCAGCGCGTAAATCGGCGTATTTTTTTAAATCTTTAATTTGTCCAGAGTACGTTGAAACGACCGCGTCCAAGTCAAACAATATGGATTGAAAATTGTCATAGTTAGTAATCCTAGTAATCCAATCTGAGTAAAATAAATAGTTTGGAAAACTGGTGGTGTCTCTGAAGAAGTGCGTTTTGGCAGCAGTAGACGAGTGTTTCTTATCAAGTATTACAACATGGTTAACACATGAGAGAAATGCAGAATACACAGCTAGTCTGTCTGAGGCTGGACAACGAAACAAATAATCGACACAGAATAGAATAAACTCCTTTTGTGCATCAGACAAATCTTCGACAGAAGGCGTCCTAGTGAAATTGTAATTTGTGAGACCTTCTTTCTCTCCGACATAACGTAGATGATCAAAAACAATGCCAGCAGCTTCTGATGACAACTCACAAACGAATTTTAGAACTTCAGCCATCTTCCTTGATTTTTCAAACGTATCCATTCCCGACAAGCAGGTGACCGTTTCATTCTTCTTAACCTTCACTTCTTGAACGATAAACCAGGCGGCGAGAAACTCCTGAACGGACTTGTGAAGAAAATACACGATCTTCTCACGGTTCAAAGCAAAAAGTTTGGAAACTTGGAAAAAACCGACATGAATAAGCTTCTCGGAGAGATCACTATGCGAAAGTTTACTGAAGTTAAAATGAAGGCAGTCCTCCAAAAGAGCATCGAATGCAAGTTTTCCTATTTTGCAAAGTTCGTCTTGATATTCATCCATACTTTTATCTGTTGGGACGTTTTCTGAGTCTTTAATAGCCATATGATCCAAGAGAGTCTGAATAAATCCTACGTAAATTTCTGCACGAGATGTTGGTAATTGATGCTTTTTCTTTTTCCACAGAAGACACAACATCAACAATAATAGCGGAATCTCTGCCATCTTCACGAGGTCATGCTTTCTTATGTATTCAAGTAGCCCTTCAACATCTTCCTCATCAGGAAGAATCTTACTTGCAAACTGTTTCTTCTGTTCCCAGCTGTCGAACCCGTTAAGTTCAAACTGAGCGTGACTTGGCACTCTAAGCTCATCCTCTTTTACTGGCCGCGTTGTGATCATTACACAACAGTCTCTCAGTTGACTGCCTCTCCAAATCTGGTGAATTAGAGACGATTTTCCACCGCTGTACTCATCATATCCATCCAAAATGAGCAGTACTTTCTCCTGGTTCTGACGGACATATTCACACAAGTTATTGACTGCCATCGGGTCATCAGCAGACAACAGTTCAGCGGTTTTCAACATGGTACAGAGGTCTGGACTATCACAAACGTCTCGCAACCTGATTAACAGTAAAAGAGCAAACTTTTTGAGGATCTCCTTTATGCCATTTGCCCAATCCACAGCTACTTTTTGAGTGAAAGTAGACTTTCCTATTCCAGGTCTTCCATACACTAGAATTCGTCTACGGATGGGATGATGTTCATCACCTTCAAATACTTCACTGCTGTCTCCCAGCTCTTCTTTCGTTGTCCCGTAAGGTTTTCTGTGGTCCTGTAAACACGTTAACTGTATGTAAATGTCATTAATGTGTACCGTGTTGTCTGGGTCCCATGGTGTTATTTTCACTTGACACATGGTGTCAGTGTACAACGTCCTCAACTGATTCTGGCACCATTCCAAAAATTCCGTTTCAGACGAGTCTGTAGACAAAAAACGAATAGCTTGGTAAAAGTTTTTCTCTCTCACATAGAGAAGAAAATTACTCGAGCAGGTTTTTAAACAGTGAGAGGATTATTTCTTTCCATCTGTAATTTGTAACTTTGGCAATGTCACTCTTTTAATTTCGAGGGCAAATATTCACATTTTCACTCTTAATCTGGTCACCACAGTGTTTTGTTAAGGTGGGGTGGGGAAAACTCGACTTGCGCCTAATTCTCGAGTGCCGTCTTCGATCCTCCCGTAAAGGGGAGAAGCGTGGGCTCATTTCACGACCTTCGGATTCTGCGCTCTGAAGCCCTCCCACTAGGCAAGAGAGAACTATATGATAAGTTTCACAGTAATAAGAATAAAAGAAACAGTTTCCTACTACATCTGTTCATTCAAATACATACCTGCTGTTTTGGTAGACGAAACATGTTCCTGTTGGGAAGACTGGGCACTAGAGCAGGATGGCTCTACCGGAACTCCCTTACTCAGTGCTGAATACTGTCTATCAGTTGAAATATCTTCAAGAACACAAAACCAAACAGACAGCAGTTAGACAGCCTTATGAGGTTTAGGACAGACATGCAGTTACATGCAGTTCAAACCACCATAATTCGAATACTGTGTCCTAACCTTGCTCACAAAGCTCTCTGCTAAAACGAATGTGAGTGTAAGATTTCTAAAAATGCAAAACTACGTGAGGAGTTTAAGATGTATGTGATCCTTCCTACCTCTTCCTAAGAATTCAACATTTGACTGCAGTTCTTAGGAGAGGCACCAAGGGACCTAATAGTCTCTCTAGAAATGCTGGAAATTTGTATACAACGATGATGGCTTAACCCTTTAACTCCCATGAGTGACCAAGACAGAATTTCTCCTCACAATATCCATACAACATCAAGCAGGCAAGTGATGAGAATTAAGAGAAATATCAATTAGAGGGTTATTAGTTGATCAAATAACAAATTCTCAGAACTAGAATCATAGGAATTGTATGGCAGTCATTTAGGAGAATTACTAATGAGATAAAAGAGTAAAAGGGTTAAGTGATTTCCTAACAACAAGTCCTAACTGTTGTTCAGTTAGCAATGATAATTTGGTTTTATCAACTGAATTAAATAATGTAAATTGCTCATTGTAGAGAGTTTCTAAAGCTGATGTTTCGAGCGTTAGCCCTTCGTTGGACCAATTAGGTTGGGTGTGGTTTATAAAATGGGGGTTGGGCTGACGGTGGGGGTGAGGGGTATTAAAGGCAAGAGTTTCCAGTGTATTATGGGGATGTTGGAGGTCCTCTTCCCTGAGGGAAAATATGGGAAAATATGCTATCAAAAGCTTGAAACCATCCCACCATCAATCTTTATAGAAAGAAAATTAGAGCTCCTCTATGTTGAGTTGAGGTCAACGTCGTTATCTTGAATGTCTCAGCTTTTGTTAGCCCAGCTCAACATACATAAGCAGAGCCTGTGAAATTGCTGACAAACATGTAACATTTCTGATCCAAGAGCTGTTCTGATTGGTCAGTGCATGATCATAGGTCATTAATCATGTTTTTAATTCAGTTTTGGTAATTCGGTTCCAGCACATTTATAGAACACAAAACTAAAGAGCATACAAGACTAGCTAGTGACTGAGGGCAAATATACTGTAGGCTTAAAAAACATATAAATTGATCTGTTTACCTTTGTAATATGGCCAATCTTCAAAAATACTGCATTCCTTTAGAATGCTGACAACAAGAGAAGCTGCTGTTACACTCGCAAATGTTTGCCAGTTTTCTTTTGTTTCAGTTCCATCTGCATATCCTGAAATACCCTTGACGACAACCCACTCCATTTTCAGTTCATGCGCTGCACTGAAAACTCCTGAGACATACAATAACAAGCTATTATGAATAACACAACAAATATTCTCTAACATCTATTGATTTTAACCTCTCCCATTGTTACCAAAATTAATTGCTATCAAAGATTTGTAAGGAACTAGAGATATATTTTGGAAAGTCACCTTACATTTACTAGGTGCCAAGCTAGTCCCTGTAGCATGAGCTTCTCCCAGATCCCATACCATTCAGCCACTGAGACTTTACTCTTATTCATGCCATATAGTATATGAAATACTTGTCAGTTCATCAGTAGCCATCTATACTCCTGGATATAGAGACACACTGTGAGAGTAAAGCATCCCAGCCAAGACTAGAACACAATCACTTTAGCCCAGGGCTTGAGCCCAGACCTCTTGATCTAAAGTCCAGTATGTTCACTCACAAGCCAGTGCATCTCTCAACACTTACAGAAAAGCTTACCAACAACATATGAATATCAACTCTTTCTCTCCCAGGATACAAATATACCCAAATATCTCCTTGAACAGATTTTACAGTAACAGTTACTTCATAGGAAAAAGAGACCTTACCCTCTCCTTCTGTTTCAATTGCAATTGCTTCAGGAAATGACTTCACCAGTTCATCTCGTCGCCATCCAGCTTTCACGACCTCAGTACCACTCAAAACCTCGCCACAGAGGACTTCAACTTTCCTCTCTTTCGGATTTTCTAGGGGTGGATTCCAACCATGACCTGCACATTCAATGAGTTCAGCAATGTCTCTGCTTACAGGAGTTGTGAACCCACAAAATTTCTTTCCATCCTTTGTAACCTTCTGATAGGAATAGGTTGTGAGCTTTTCTGATACAACCACATCCCCAAGTTTTGTTGATTCCTGATTCATACCACTACAGTGGCCCACAGAAAAGACAGCTTTTGGCCTCAGCTGAGTGACAGCATTTTTTACAACAGTCAAAGCACCACCAGGAACTTTAAATCCCTCCGAGCATTTCATTAAAGCAACTTTCAGTTTAACATCTTGATCTTCACCAAAGCTGCCAAAGTACACACGACCAAGGCCTTTGCAATAGCTTCTTAATGGATCATTAATGTAATAGTAGCAGCTCAAGAACTCACAGTCCTTTACTGTTAACAACAGAATGTCAATTGGGAGTTGAACATCCTTCCAATGTATAAAATTCTGGGTTAGTTCACTTATCTCTGGAAGACTAATATTGATCTTTGGTGGGTCACCATAAATGTTCTTTGAACTGCTCTTGTCAGTTCTCGCAGTTTCTGACATTGCCAATCCGCTTCTGAAAATAAAAGCAATACAGAAACATAAAAACTAGAGTTTAATTTAATTCACCATATTTAAGCCTGGACAAAATAACTAGCCTCCAGTCCTGCCCATTTAATCAACATTTAATTCATGCAACTGTAAAAGTTAATGTTAATGTTTGGAACAGAATTCTATTAAAGATAATCTGCTTCACTGCAGAAATCTACAAAGACAATCACTAATCATAATCATGCATCGATTGCAATGAATAAAACAGAACATCATTCACAATCTTAAACAGTATATTTTACTTCTGATCCTCATTGAAGGTGATTGAAGTAGGTTCAAAGTTTCAAAGAAATCATCACCTGCGATGCAAACACCAAATTGTTTACATTCCATAACGAAAACATCTCAGGGAGTGCTGATTGCAATGGATAAATTGGGCAGCATATTAGTGAGTATTTGTTTAGTTACTCGCTCAATGACACACGTGTTTCAATGCCTTGAGTAAGTGACATTTTCCAAATCAAGCAAATCAACTGCTACTGTTCATCGCCTGAATAACAAAGGCACATGAGTTGCGCATTTTTTTCGACCGTGCGTGCAAAAAAATCATATATACGCATCTGACTACCCTGCATCTGAGCATATGAAATTCGTCTGCGCAGTTAACGAATACACAAGCAGTATTGTAGTGACTGAAAAATAAAAATTTAAATCAATCATAGTGGGTATTAAAGCTAAAATACAAATATAGATTCATGCTTCTTATGACCTTGTACCTAGATGAAATAGATGTAAAATTACAGGCAGATATGAATAATCACATCTGGTGGCAAACAACAAAGACAACTGGACACATCTCCAGTTTGTACAACTAAGCTTAAACTGTACTCAGATCAAAACATATGATAAAGAATATCAACCTAAGGTGTTGTCTCAAGCCCAGTGCACAGAGGTTGCATATATAAGTTATTTTTTAGTTTAACATCCTTTTCTTAAAGGCAACCAGTTCTATATTTAACACTGTTTTGAAACAGGTTGTTATCAAAGCACTAGGTAATAGTTTTTTTTAGTGCTTGGATGGTCGACTCGAGTTAAAATGATTTAATATGTTAGGAAAGCACTTTGGAACATTTGCTTGTCCACTTTATATTATGCCTTGTCATGCTGACACTGACTTATTTACCATGAGCGATAAAGGAAACAGAACGGTTTGAAGCAAAATTCCAGCATGTATGTCAAACACCATGATGGTCTGTAACCAGTGACTGATACTGATTCATTTCTGATGAGTGACAAATGACACGGGACAGTGTGCACAGCTTTAACCGTTTCTGCAGCCCAAGCATATGATGGTTTGATTTGTTTTTGATAAGTGAAAAGTAAACAGTACAGTGTGTGTAGAACCATTCCTACAGCCTATGCATATGACTGTCTTTAGTCAGTTAGTCATTTCACCTGCTCCAATTAGTCTAAAAGGTAATCTGGTGGAGGATTGGACATATTTGAAAGAGAAAACTTGAAAAAAAGTTCTAACAAATAATCCTCAGAACAGTGTTTTGGGAAAGGAAACCTACCAAAAAGCTAAAAATTTACTAGTTGGAGATCACAGTCTACATTGTTGAGCACTGCTTATTTAACAGTGTCAACTGTGAAGATGGAAAAATTGACACAAAAATAGGCCACAACAATTGGCATCTACTGGTTGCTTAACATGTATTAAACATGAACTGATCTTCTGCAAATTGGTAACAGGATTAAAGAGCTGTGAAGTCAGGAAGTGATTCAAAGCATTAACACTTGATAAGGCAATTGATATAATCAGAGCTGGAAAAATATACGCCATTGAGCTAAAGAACATAGACTTGAGGAGCTGTAGAAGCACCCTTAAGTATAGTCAAGAATCATAAAAAGAGACCCGACTACACACAAAAGGTACCAATGCCGAGACTGGAAATCCCACAAAACAATTCACATCAATTTCCTGCTAATGGAAAAAATGTAACAAGTGTTGCAAAAATAATTATTTGTTACAATCTGCACAGCCTTTGTTACTAATGGAGGAGATAAGATGACAAGGGAAAATTTTAACTAGGATCTGTGTCAAAGAATCTGCCAAGACTTTCAATCAAGTTGAAGAATCAGATGATGAGCTATATACTGTATATCTCATGTACTCAGGAGCAGACAGTGATCATACCAAATACCAGATGGAGCCTCAGCTATGGGAAGGTGAGAGCTGTGAGTGGACAGCAAAACTATGCAATCAATTATATATAGATCAGAGGCCAGCTGACCAATTATGGAAGATTACAAAAAGCATTAAGAACAGATCAAGCCTGGAAAACATCCAAGCTATCTTGAAACCCACCAGTAAACTTTTCTCCATGCATGTATGTGCAAGGTTTAGTGTGAATTGACATTGCTTAATGGGCTCAAAATTTCAAAAAATCAGCTATAAATTGCTAGGAAATAAAAGAATGAAGTTCTATTTACCTGTAGTAAGGCTACTTCTAGCTTTTCTTATGGCTTGGTAATACAAAAGAGTGCCACAACAGCTACCTCAATCAAGGCAGCAGGAGATTAAAATGCTTACTTGAGCATAACATTATCAATTATGATATATTAAAGTAATAAAACAGCTACATTAATTATTTGTTGTGATTGATGGGAAAAAGCATTGAAAATCAGTTCAAATCTGAACCATTCATCTGCAACGATGAGCAGGTACAAGTGAGTCACTAATTAATAAGGCATGATGCACAACTGGAGGAAAAGGAGTTGAGTGGCTTCTTAAAAACCTTTTGATCATCTCAAACAATCTATCACTTGACCTCAGGATTTCCTCATGTTATTATCACTTATTTCTTGTTTGCCCTGTGGCAATCTCAAAAATCTTCGTGCAAACACAAGTATCTGATTACTGGCAACTCATTCATTGGCCACCTCAAAATGAGTGGAACAAAATCCTAGTACAAGTAAGTTTAGTTTTGTTCTGATTCTGTGAATTGTCTGTAATACAGTACCGCTCGAAGATAAGCGAACCACTCAACGCGTTCCCCACGCAGAGCCAACGCGTTGGCGTTTTGAACTTAACGCGTTAGCGTTTGCGTGTCCACGCAAACACAAACGCGTTTAGTGAAGCTCATTAGTAGATCACACTTTAAAACCATTTTGCATAACAAGAGGCCCAAACAAAGCCGACTTTTTAGTCACATTCGCCGTAGCATCTCCACGGCGTCTGTGTATTCCCGATAACAAGCGTTATCCAAAGATCTGTTCCTGATTAAAAAAAAAAAACCGAACTAAGAGTCGAGCGATTTCATTTTACAACCTGTAATTTGTGAATACTTTCGAAATTCTCGTTCACCTGTATCCCAAACTATTTTTTTTTTTTTTTTTTTTTTTTTGGTCGATCGATTTTATGTTTACGTGCCGAATGTCTCGAAATTCATCACAAGTCGCGGCGCTTGTGCTACCAAATAAATGAAATTCTAGCCGTATTAAGTTTGCGAACAACTTCGAATTCTCAGATCCAAATTTATCCTTTTCGATTGATCCTGTGTTTATGTGCCGCATGACTTTTCAATTTGACAAATATATCGACAGCTGTCGCTAGCGATGAAATTCTAGCCAGGTAAATTAGCGAACAACCTCCAAATACTCGCATCCCATGAATTATTACTTGTGTTTACGTGTCGCCGCTTGTCTCGAAATTCGTTAAACATCCCGGCACTTGTCGGTACTTTGGCAATCTGTATCTTTATTCCTAAATGTTCTTACCTTACTATGCTATGTCATGCTAATACTTGTTTACATATAAAATAGAATATGATGTTATCATACAGAATGTTGAGAATGTTAACCATCATACTGGTGTACAATGTATCCCTACACATGCACCTGTACTATGTAATGGAGCTCAAATCAATTAGTTGTGGTTATCAGTTGATATACTCTTGTGCAAACTAGAAGTTGTGTTTCTGGCTGAAGATCTATTCATTATCATTATTATTGTTGTTATTATTATTGTCTTTCTCTCTATTTTTCTATACATAGATTTACATTTATTTCAATTAGGCATACAAGATAAACACTCACTTTTCAAATTGCTTCTCCTGTGAGATGGTTGCAGTAGTTGAATTAAACTCTCAGGTACTTGCTGTTGTTGGATTGAATCAATAATACCATCCACCAGATAAACCACTGACCCAGTAGATTGTGTGGCAGATTGTGTTCACAACAAGCTACTGGGAAGTGATTAATCTGGTGGACAGCAAAAAGTTCAACTGGCTGTTGGTAAAATAACTGTTCTGTGCCAAAATCACTGTAAGTTCTGACTGTTGAGTCAGTCAAGTATCAGAACACCTGCAGCTGTTGGAATGGAACTTAACCAGAATTCAGAATATTCTGGAACTCAGCTGCAACAAAGTACAACACATATGGATCAATTATCATCGTTTATATGATAACCTGAATTATACATGCACTTTGATTGGTTCTTATATTAAAATGTGGTGAGTACATCCATGGCACACTCTACTGTGCCTCATGCACCACTTTTTTGTTCTTTACACATTTTGATGTCAACTATGATCTATTAGTGAACAGTCACATGGCAACACAAAATATATTTATCAAATGGAATAACCATTCACTTAACATTTTTTTTCCCTTTTTTTGTTTTTTTTTGCTCCTCAACACATGAATGTGCAATGAAAACAGGCTCTCATCTCTGAGTCAGTTGAGAAAAACAATCATCTAAAAAGAATATTGTCATTATAGCACCAATAAAATGGTGAAGTAGATGACTTGCATTAGCTGTTTATAAAGTTCATAATTTACTTATTTTTGAATATTGATGTTTAAACAAGGTACTTTCTTGCAACATAGTGATTCTCAGAGAGGCTTGTTTACAAAAGTTAATACACATACTTTAAAAATGCATACAAAGACAAAATATCACAAACAAAATTCCAAAGGAAAACATGCATAAATATAGTTCATAGAAGCAA